TATTTTGCTATCTAATATCTTATAGTAAAGAGGCATTAGAGTAAAATTCTTCCAAGTCACTCATACTTGGACAAAACACAAGAATTTTGGCTATAGCTTTGGCTCACAATTCCCTAGTGGCTTTCTTTTATGATTCCATTTTTGTAAGATGATGTACCTATTTAACTCATTGTAAATTTTTATTACTGTGTTTTGTATAGTTTGATACCATTTCTAAAAAAGTCAAGACGCTATACGAGTTAAGTTCAGACAAAGATGCTTTCAAAATCAATAGCCAATCGTCTCTTGCAATAAACACTACCCTATTATCTTTTTGAGAGTGGAGTTGATTTGAGATGGTTCTGCCCCCACCATCCATATTTTTCATTTCATTTGTATGGTTCTTTCTACTTCAATTATATCTTTTCAGACTTAAAATCACATACATTGTAAATGCATATCAAGTATTAAAGCTTCTATTGACTGAGTTATTTCTTATGTGAGAGAAAGTCTTTTCTTTAATAAAGAGTTGTGCAGAACCAATTTACAACAAAGTAATTATCTTTCAAATGAAGAACAAATTTTTTTTAGAGAATCCCTTTGGGATTTAAATTATTATTGTGATGTAATAAGTGATATGATTTTAAAATATAATTTCAATAAATAAAAAGATAATGTATTGGTTTCTTTTTATACAACAACCAATGATGAAATAGAAGGTGATAATAAATATCTATATAAAAGATTGATCTATGAAAATGAACAAGATCATTTTAAAAAACATGGATTAATAAAGCATTTAGTAAAAAGGTTGAAAGATTTTTATTCTATAGAAGGTAGGAAATTAAAAGATTTAAAATTATCATCAAATATTATAAAAAATAAATAAATAAATAAATAAAAACTTAAACTTATAAAATTCTTGATTGAAGAAGCTTATAGGAAGGTTAATAAGTTAAAATGGTTAGAACTTATGTGTGCCTCTAAAAACATAGATCTTGAATTTGAAAAACTTTTCATGAAAGAAGTGAGTATTATAGTAAGTCTAAGTCATTTCAACTTGGTAAAGTATTATTTTGCAATGAAAGATAATGTAGAAAAAAGAAGTCAATCTTATGTACTAATAAATATTAAAAAATACTTATATTTTGAGATGGAATTGATGCAAATAATTTTAACTAAGATACTTGAAGAAAAAAGGATAAGAAACCTACATTTTTCTTCTTGATATTTTGTTTCAAATTTCAAAAGGAATATGTTACTTATATGACATGCACATTGCTCATTGTGATCTAAAGCCTAATAATATTTTAATTGATATTATAGAAGAAAATATCATGAATAAGATAATTTGACATACAATTATTAAGGTGATTGATTTTGGAATAACTAAGATTGAAGTTGGAAGCAAACCAAAAGCCAAAAAGAATAAGCATGTTTATAATACAACAATATACATGGCTCTTAAGATATTAAAGAATAAGTTTCAAATAATGAAAATTTATCTTTTTGAATTAGATATTTATTCATTTGCAATGGTATATTCAAAGACTCTTTCTAAAAAGATCCATTTCATGATATATATAAGATAAAAGAGATATTAGAAAGAATATCTCTAATATGATAGACCATTCTTATCTTCATATTATGATGAATTAACTAAGCTCATTGAAGAGTATTGGAGCTTAAATCCTTTGCAATGACCAAAATTTGCAAGTATTTGTGAAAGATTGATTAACTTGAAGTAATTGTTTTTAGCTAGAATCATAATAGAAAAAAGAACTAAGTTTTTGTGCATCAAAGAAAAATTCATCAAACTGTAGAATTATATAATATATACACACTCATATATATATATATATATATATATAATAAACTACTAATTTATTATATCTTAAAAATATATATTATAAAATATTAGTTTATTATTACCAAATGGTATATATTATGGTATTTAAATTTGACATTATTGAAAAATAAATTGAGTTACTTCACATCTTTCAATTACTTAAACATGTCATGGTCCTATGGCTTGACATCATTGGAAAATAAATTAAGTCACTTTACATCTTTAATTACTTTAAACATTTCATATTGTTTAGATCTAATATCATTGCTAAATAAATTAAGCCATTGTACATCTTTGACTACCATAAATAGGTTCAAGTATTTAAGCTTAATATCATTACCAAATAAATATAGTAATTTTACATCTCTGACTACCTTAAGCATAACATATTATTTAGACTTGATATAATTGTCAAATAAATTAGGCCACCTAATACCTAAGACTACCTTAAATATGAAGGAATATCCAAGCTTATCATCATATCCAAAAGAATTGGGCAACTTCATATCTTTGACTATTTTAGACATGTTGTAATAACTGACCTTGACATCATTGTCAAATGAGTTTAGAAATCTCACATCTTTTATTACTTTAGATATGTATGTGTCCTTAAGCTTGATAATATTGCCAAATGAACTAGGCCACTTCACATCTTTCACTACCTCAAACATATTGAGGTACTCAAGTTTGACATCATTGCCAAATAAATTTAGGAACTTTACATTATTAATTATTTAATCCATATAAGAGTGTTCAAATCTAATATCATTGTAAAATGAATTGAACACCTTCACAGCTTTGACTACCGTAAATATGTGATAATGCTCAAGCTTGATATTAATGCCAAATAAATTAGATAACCTCACATCTTTGATTATCTTAGATATGTTGAGGTGCTTAAGTTTAACATCATTATTGAGTGCATTAGGCAATCTTTCACTTTTAATTGCCTTAGATGTATAAGAGTATTCAAGCTTAATATTATTACTATATGAATTAGAGAACCTTATATCTTTGAATACCTAAAAAATAATAAGATATTTAAACTTGATATTATTACTAAATGAATTGAAGGATCTCATATTTTTTATTACTTTATTTATGTAGGAATATTCAAGTGTATCAAATAAATTTAAAAACTTTACATTATTGATCAACTTATCTATGTAAGAGTGTTCAAATCTGATATCATTGCAAAATGATTTCAACAAATGACAACTTTGATTACCTTAGGTATATCAAGGTGTTCACCCTTGGCATTATTGCCAAATAAATTAGACAATCTCACTTCTTTGATTATCTTATGATGACTATAAATTTTGTCTTTAGCTTAGTATTATATATTTAATATTATATATTTTTATAAATATATTTTAAGTATATATTTTTATTTATTATTTTATCAAAATATTTTATGATCTAAGTTTTTGTTATTTTTTAAACTCTAAAAATTCCTACATAAATTTTTATTTTTTTATTAGATACCAGTAATAATAATTTATTATTTTTCATTATTATATACTTAAGAATTACATTAAATAACTACATTCCAGAATCAATGAATGCATGTTGATGTTTTTAAAAACTAATGTATTTGTGAAAGCATATGTGTTGAATGCAAGGTTTAAGATGCTAAATAGAAAAATTAACAAATAATTCGGAAATTTTATTTACTATAAAACTGTCCAATTTAAAATGTAGAAATTTATATGAGTTTTAGAATTTATTTTTAATTATCAATTGAATCAAATAGATCCCATAAAGGTTGTATCTTTATTAATTAATTTATATTCGTTAATTTATATTAAGGTGTAAAAAATCACTGGATGTAATTATAATGCAAAAATGATGTACATATTATACTCATCATGCAATTGAATTCTTATGCAATTTTAAAATAAACATTTACACTAGATATGCAAGAATTTTAATAACAACAAGATATTATTTAATAAGAAATGTTTGCTAAAATCATCAACTGAAATATAGAAATTCAAATTAAAATCTATGGATATACATTAAAAAAAAACGATTCATCAGATTTGTATAATATATGTTCTTTAAACCAAATCAAAAAAACACAAAATCTTTGAATAATTATTAAAATCCTCAAAGATAAAAAGCAGTCAGTAAATATAAATATATATATATATATATATATATATTTGAATAAAAGCCCACAAAATATGTAACACAAAACACTATACATCAAAAAACCCATGCCATGCAACATGCTAGTGATTGAATCTAACCACGATTTCCTTGCTCATTCCATTGCTTCAACCCAAATCCACCATGCAAAGCTTCAAAGCGTAACGAGAAGCATGTGAATTTCATCCATCGGATGTGTAACCAACTCCACATCCGCATCATTCATCCATATACGAGACTCATCCTGGAACGATGAACGTCGTACATCCATGGAGCTGGTGGGGGTGGGTGTGAGAACATGAGGAATGGGGACAGCACAGCAAGCAACGTCGGCGCGACGCCGAAGCGGCGAGGGGGCTCTCATCATCATCTTCGTCGTCGTCGTCATCGTGCATGGGATCATCGCAACAACGAGGCGAGGGAAGGGACCGAGCGAGGCAGCCGTCGTGCAAGAATCACACGGTGTGGAGTCTCTCGCATATCATGCACACTTCTCATGCTCATGCTCCTTGTGCTGCTACTTCACATCCATATCCTGCGGGGAGGAAAGGAAGGGGGGCTTAACTTGCTGTACTTAGGGATAACACGGAGATTTGACTACGCTGCAACTGAAGCTCACGGGGACGGAGCCAGGGAGCGAGCGAGGCGGAGAGGCTGGCACAGATGTTGAGGTCCTGGAAGCATGGGCGTCGAGGGTGGATTCGGCGTGACGAGCGAGTCTGTGATCGTATTGCTCCGACGTGGGCAGGGTGGCATACGGCGTGGAGGGGACCGGGCCTGCATGTCCGGGCAGGCCGAGGTGAAGGGAGAGAATGGGAGAGAGTGGGAGAGAGAGGCTCTTGAGAAGTGGGTGGGGGCGGCCGTGACGTTGCAAGATGTACGAGGTTGACAGGCACGGCTGACTGGCCACCCAACTACGGTAGGCTACTGGTGCCTGCCCGGGGCCGGGGCTTTAGGGTACGAATTGCAGGTGCCGGGACTTGGTGCGTAACGTGTGAGCGCGAGGTGTCGTGGGTAGATCGCAACGGACGTGCAGGAAGCGAGGCAGCAGCGGCAGGAGCAGGAAGGAAGGAGCAGCTATTGGTTGTTCCACGGTACCCGGCCGGCTTTGGCTATCCCGCTCGAGGGTGTCTCGGTAGTTGTTGTTGACCATGGCTGCTGCGGAGCAGAGCTGTTGCGGAGCTTGCATTGCGAACTGTCGATCGAGTCTGGCCGATCGTGTCTGAGGGAGATGGGTGGGTGTATATCACTGCAGAGTGAACGTCAGAATTTTCTGGGTCGTGTGGTTGCTGTCATGTCCCAGTGGGTTGAGGATGGACGAGGAAATTTGGGAGACGAGCGTTTAAATTTGGTGCTGTGGCTGACAGTGGACTAGGAGTGGACGAGCCGGGTGCGTGTCAGAAGATTATGGGGGCACAAACCAACATTACGCAAGGGTTGGGTGAAGGTGATTACGTCGTGGACGCAGGTCGCGGCCCAAACATACAGGGTGCAATTGCGACAAAAATGGTCGGTTCGACTGACGACGATACTGAGCATTCGCCGAGGGTTTCATCATCGGACGCCGCTGATAGCAGCGATGCAAAGGCTCCCGACGTGAACATTAGTGTGTTGGACCATCAAGACAAGGATGAAGTCATGGTGGATGCCCAGGGGGGAGGGGGAGAGGTATCGCCGAGCGTAGAAGCACATCATGGTGTCTTGAACGGAAATGCCCCCACGGTCATGGTAGCATCGAAATTGGGTGAAGCGCAAGTATTAGACGTTCAGGCTAGGAAAGACTCTGGTGGGCTTAGCGACAGTGTTGTGTCGAACGGTTTGGTTCATGACACAGATCGGTTGGTGAAAAACGGCGGGTCTCGGAAGAGGAAGCCCAAGACTATCCACTACATGAATTCTAGGGTACCTCATTCCGTTCCTACATTGGAGAGCGAAGAGGGCTCCGATGGTCAAGAGAGTCATGAGGAAGGAGACACTGGTCCCGTGCGCCCAAGCCAAGCCCCGCGTGCAGCTGCCACTAAGGTTGGTTCATGAGATGAATTTTCCAAAAATGATTGGGCTGATATTCGGGTTTCAAATGGCCTTAAAAACGCGATTGGGAGTGATTGAGGATGTTTTAATCATGACTGCCTATTTTCGTGTTGGTCCCCATATAGAGAATGCATTTTCCTTCCAGCGCAGCGCATGTGCAGACTTCCAAATTTAGGGCAGCATCGTAATTTGTCTGATGACTAGCGGTTGGCCTGGTTCACTGTAGCATAGACAGTTGAAATTAGTTTTGTGCTGCGAGGAAGTTTCGGCGAGCTCTTTGAGTGCTGCACATAGAGAGCTGTTCGTGATCTTAAAGACCAGATCTTTACTCTACCATTCACCTGCCGTTCCTACGTGTGGATGTGACCTCAGCTAACGTGTCTGTGATGGTGGGAAGCAGCTGAAGTCGATGGTCCCAATTGGAGACAAGTTACTGAAGGCTCCAAGGAACGCGAAGGAGCTCATGGCCACCAGACTCATGGAGGGCCATTTTGTGCGATGCTCATGCCGAGGCATACAAGTATGTGCCTTCGCCGTGTTTTTGTTTTGGATATGAATTTTGGTGAGGAGATTCTTCTAATATTCATCGCTTCGTTTACGTGAAGCCTCGGTCATTGTGAATGAGGCTGATTCGGTTTCCTAGGTATTGAGTGTTCGGTTTACTAGGAAGGACAGAAAAACTAGGTCTTTCTTTAATGCAACTTTTCGGGGTAATGACGGCGTGAGTATTTTATTGTGGAAGTTTTTGTATACAATCTAAATCCTGTCATTGGCTGTAGTTGCCTTGATGCCGCTGTATGATTCCTTCTAAAATAATCTATTTCCTGTTTTGCGAATTGAATTGAATCCTCCATTCAAGAATTTAATCAAGTACGGGCATGCTGCTGTGGGACTGCCACGCCTTTACAGGGGTACTGTGGTGGTACATTAAGGTGTTGTGAGCTTGAATTTTCACGTGATCATGTGTTGTTCTTTGCACAGCTTACGGGAATGTTGAAAGACATGGGTGTGCGGTGCGACTGCCGGAATTGCAAGAGTTCTGTGGTATGTTGATGGCAGAACTTAAATTATATCATTTGATAGTATCCAGCATGATCGTGTCCTTGATGATGCAATGCTAACGAAACGAGTGATGAGGTCTGGATTCCCTGTTGACCATTCGGTGGTTGTTACTGGGTAAAATTTTGCAGATCGTTTCTATTTCAGCATTTGAAGCACATTCAGGAAGTACTTCTCATCATCCAAGCGACAACATTTATCTTGAGAACGGGAAGAATCTTCGGGACATACTTAGCGCCGGTCAAGAAGCTGCAGATTGTGGGGACAACATACTTAGAGCTTTGAAGATGGCTATAGGGGACATTCAGGGCGTTGAAAAGTGGAAGGTTACATGCGCAAAGTGTTGGAATTCAGATGAGGGTGACCTAATCTATTGCAAGGGAGCAAGATGCTCTATAATAGCACATTCCAGTACGTATAATACTTTTGTGAATGTAGTTTTCTTCTGAAAATGTAAAAAAATTAAGTTTTTATCCGGATGAATTGGGCCAATGTAATAGTGATGCATGTATTCTGCTCTTTTTTAAACGAACATGTAGTGTCTTGTTAAATCGTAAACTTGCAGGATGTATTGGAATTTCGAACCCACGGCTTGGGGACTGGTTTTGTGACAAGTGTGAAAAAATGAAGAAACCTCATGCTACAGTGAAAGTAAAGCGGTCCATTTCCAGTGGAACGGAGAAGGATGACGGCAGAGTGAGGTGAGGGTGCCATGAGACACTTGAATGCCAATGGGTTGTGGAGTGCTTGTGTTTAACGATTCAACGTATCGTTGTTCTAGTAGCAGTCTGTGTGATGCAATACAATGTCTTCTGAACACCAAAGTTCATTCCTGCTTCACTCATTTTCTGAAAAGTTAGGTCAACAAATTATTGTAATTTCTGTATCGGGCGGAACAAGGTTTCGGAGTCTGGTCAGATTTCGGTGGAAGTATATTTACTATGTGATCTATGTGTATTATATAGAGTTTCAAAATTGGCTTTTAATGAGGTTTTAGGCATGGATATTACAGGAAGGATTTTTTTCATTTGGCCAATTGATCTTTGCAGGGAGAAGGATGCAACAGAGTCGACCAGATTGAACCGAGATGCGCATTTACATAAGGCTCTTTTCTTGCCTGGTGGATTGGAAGACGGAACAGAACTTGGCTATTACACGAAATCCCAGGTATTTGGTCAGATCTCTCACTTCTCAAGTTCCTGTATTTCTTTGTTACTTACGTTTTAAGATTATTACGTAACCGTGTTTGTAGGAGCAAGTACTGTGCGTATTAGTTGATCCTTCATTTCCATGGAGTTTTAGTGAAGTAACTTTGATAATGTCTTGGATTGTTCATGGTAATGTCACAAAGTGAGTGAGAAATTTCTGATATGAAAAAGTTGTTGTGGCAGCTGAAACTGAAAGGTGTGAAGCGTGGTGAAGGTATAAGCTGCAGTTGCTGTGACAAAGAGGCAAGTTTCACTGTAGTCTGAGTTTTAACTCCCGAGCTTATTGTGATGTTGCTTAAATGATCTATACTGCTTATGTTGGTTCACACTTCGGTTTAGCGGTTTGTGTGCGATTGTAATGAACTTCTTCAAAGTCATGTGAGGAAAGTTTAGGAGACTGCATAAATCCTATGGTATTGTAATGATCTGCAGCGTTCAAGAAGGTAGTTGTGGAGGTTTGATTTCCTGCAAGCATTAGGTATTAGTGTGGACATATTTCGAGGACATGAGAGTTGTCTAATGGCCAATTTGATTTCTCACAGATAAATTGTTACAAGTTTGAACAACATGCTGGCTGCGAGGCTCGCCGAAATCCGTAAGTGTTTTTTCTCCTTCAGTCCACGCATGACGTGGGAGTTATTGGATATGAAATCATGCTTGCAGTTGTGTGAGCTGCAGTTCCAGCGCTGAAAGTCATGTTTCTGTTACACTGGGTCATCATTAACCTTCTGGTGATATAATGGTCATTCTGTTTCATCGGTGAAAGAGGAGTATCGTCATGGTTCAAGTGTAATTGGCTATGTGCTAAACACGCTTCATATTGTTGTTGATCGATGAACTGAAACTTGACCTTAACAAGCAAAATTTGCATACCCATTGATCCAAGTAGTGGAATATCACTTCGCTATCATGTATGCTGAAACTAGTGATGGATGTGTCAGGTACGGAAATATCTTGTTGGTGGCGGATGGTCGTTCTCTGAAAGACGTTTGCAAGGAGCTGGCACATAAGAACAAGCTGGGTGAGAAAGAAAAACGTGTTGCACGTGCCGGAAAGGTCAACTCCTGCTATGAATGTGGCACTAGAGGGGAACTGAAGAACTGCCACGGTTGTGTAGAAACATGGTGTAACAGTTGTACCAAAGGTGGGGTCAAATGATCCAGCGAGAAATCGCTTAATGTATGTCTCTGCGTTTTGATTCTGTCTAAAGGAGTACCTGCACATATTCATAGAAACGAAGCAGGAATTTTTCGGCGATGTTCTTGGTCCGAAATTTCGGTAAAGAGAAACTGCGGTTCTTGTATGGTGTCGACTCTCACGTCTGTTGGAACAAGGCTTTAATTGGAATATTTTCAATTTTTGTGTGTCCCGAGAAATGGTGATGGGTACGTATGGAATGGATTGATCGATTAGCTCAGTGTTGATAATTTGTCTACAATTATATTACAGGATTGGAGACAGATTCCGATGGCAAGTGGTACTGCCGAATGTGCCGACAGGACACTCTCAACGTGGCACAGATTGAACAAAAACGTTCTAATAAGCACATAGAGGGAATGTCTAACATTGCAGAAACCGATGAGCGAGATCGTTGCGTACGCCATTTAGAAGGGCATCGAGAAGTTGGGGGTTGCGCAATCTGCAAGTAAGTAGTGTATATTTGCGTTTCATTTAAGAATTTTTAGTGAGGTTAATATCTTTATAAAGATGTTCACTCAAGTGTTTTGGTCATAAAGATGTCAAATCCGTGATGTTTGGCTTTTTTTCTTTGCGTGAGGTGTGATCATAGAATGGCCTCTTCTTGACTTGCCTTGATAGCTGACTTCATTGCTTCACTTGCAGGAAATGGAATCTGAGCAAGACAGGTTTCGTTGATGGCATGACGATTCTAGTTTGTGATCAGGTGAGGACCCTGAACAAAATTCGCTAGGTAGCATTTATTGTTACATAATGATATTTACCTAGTTGTTGGATCGTGCCTAGAATCCTTGAGGAAAAAGTGTGGAAATTTGTCGCATCCTGTACAGTTCAAGGTTTGCGTGTTAGTTTTATTTGTTGGTAGCGGAGGCTTGGAATGGTGAGTGACATCAATTACTGAACTCGTAATATTACCAACAGTGTGGACGAGAATATCATGTTAGCTGCCTTAAAGATTCAGGCGTGGACGACCTTAATGTGAGTACCGTTTCCTAACATTTGTAGCACTATCTGAGATTCGGATGTGGGTAGTCTCTCTTTTGTGCAGCCTTGGAAGCTTGTTCAAATGCATGATTACCTGAGCAACGGCTAAATTTACTAACCCCAGTTTTCCCACGTCACGATGATAATGTTTGTTACCAGGAGCTGCCAGAGGGAGAATGGTTCTGTCAGAAGGATTGCAAGGTAATAGATGAAATCTTGACACAGTTAGTAGCCAACGGGCCAGAGTTGCTAACAGACAGCATAATAAGTGAATTGCTAGAGAGTCGGCAGCAGCAAACCGGTGCGAAGGATAAAGCTGAGTCCAGTTGCCCGAGTTTTGCATGGCAAATTCTTTGTGGCAAAAGTGGCAACACCGCTAATACTCAGACTCTTGCCGAAGCTATAAATATTTTTACAGTAAGTGTCATTCGTCCTTGTCTTCGTTTTCTTTTTTAAGTCATTTAAATGCCCTTCAAGGTTTTTCTCGAAAAGATACGATGCTTGCTATCTACTGCTTGCTGTGGATAGCGTCTTATCGAGGAGGCAAAATTCAGAGCGAAGGAATAATGGTGTTCAGTATGTTTCGTTTACAGGAGTGCTCGGATCCAATCAGGGATGCGAAAACTGGGAAGAATTTGATTCCTCTCATGGTTCAGAGGTTTGTCCTGTTGCAAAGTTTTTATATTAAGATTATGCGTGATGTGATATTGAGCAGTAATGTTCCAGTGAAAAGCTAGAGTTTTGTGATGTGAACGATTACTTCCTTAAACTTGTGAACTTATACGTGGACGCTCATATATACTAAATGTAGCTTTTTATAATGTACAGTCGAAGGTCAAAAGACCACGATTTTGAAGGTGTTTTTTGCATCGTTCTCAAGCTCAAGTAAGCTCCCCTCTCTAAATTGCCCTGTGGATATTCGTGAAGAAAGTCAGTCTAATCTGTTAAATAGATAATGCTATGGTTTCAATAGTAACAGGATTTTATAAAATAGAATGTTATGTTTTGGATTATATTTCGTAAACTCTGCTTCTGTTGATTCCAAATCAAAAATTGATTATCCTCATGTTCATACGTAACTAAAATTGGGTGTTATACGGATTGCAGCGAGAAGGTGGTTTCAGCAGCTCTGCTGCAAATTTTTGGTGGAGAAATCGCGGAAGTTCCTTTGGTTGCAACTAGCCTTACACACCAGGGCCAGGTAAAGTGTCTCCAATTCAGTTGATGGTTGGAGACTGGTATTTTGGGCATAGGGTTATAGAAGTCAGGTCTACGCTTGTTAAAACATGGAATGTAGAAACGATTTTAATCAAGAAACCATAGTTCTATGGAACTGGAGATAGGAGAGGAGTAGAATGTCTACCTGCACGTCTGCAATGTTGGACGAAAGTTAAAAATTTAAACGTGTAAAGATCGGAACGGACCTTTGAGTTATTTTGTTGAATCACATGCAATGGTGACGATGCATCTGGGTATTTGATCTTGTGACAGTGTTCTGTTTCAATTGTGCTGGGTATTGATTGACAGGGTTTCTGTAAAGCACTTATGACAACAATTGAAAGACTTCTTGGGGTGCTAAGTGTGGAGCGGTTGGTGCTCCCCACGGCCAAGAATACAGAATCTATTTGGATCAACAAGTTTGGCTTCAGTCGGGTTCCAGACGACGAGGTTAGTAATTCCTTTCTTTCAAAATAGTATTACACAGTGGTCCATGGAAGCGGAAACGATTATTTTTATTTTTATTGGAATTTTTTTTTTTGAAAAAGTTAAATAATTTCTTCTGTAATATTTTGTTCTAGTCTTATATAAACTGAGAGGGACTAATTTGTGCAGCTGAAAAAAATTTGTACAACTATACGTTTGATGACATTTACGGGCACGTGTATGCTGGGGAAGGCGATCACTCCAATGACTGTGTAGGGAGCGATGGGCAAGAATGCTCATTGCAGAACAAAGACGGACATTATTCTTGAAGTCTCCCAAGCATCCATTTTCTGTACAGAAAGAGGTTGTATCAAAGACATAAGATTCGTGATGGTTGTGTTTGTGCACACCCTGTAGGGCTCTTTCTTAAGGTGCACTTTCACAGGACTGCAGCCTCCCCCAGTTTTGGGTACATTGATGAGGAGATTTTTCTGGGTCTTTACATGGATAGTTAGAAAATACTTTCACACGGATGGTACTTGCTTCTGGCTCAAATGCAACGCGTGTCTAAATGGTCTGTAAAGAGCTCATTTTTCCTTCAAGTGTGCAAATTGTCTGGACTTGCTGATAGTCCCACGTCCAGTTAGGCTTCTCAACTGAATCCTTCTTCAAGGACTCATTTTCTGTGACGCCAAATACAGATGACTGGATACATTTTGGGACTACGACCAATCAATTTGTTTCTTTCCAGCATTATGTACCTGACGAATGTAGTTTCATGTTCACTTCAGATCCTCTACGTCACTAAACTTTCTGTTCGACTCTATTATAATTTTCTTGGAAAAAGGTGAAGACGGAATGGTGTTCAATGCTAGTGGTCGTTTGCTCGAGCGACCAGAGGGTGTAGGCTCCTGCATGTCTGTTCATGGTGGTGACCTAACATGCTAGTACCATTTATGTGCCCTATGGATTCTTCACTGATGAGCAATCAGAACCTAAATGATCTGTGGTGAAATTACACTCAGTAGCTTCAAATACCCCTCTATCTCGGGGTAGAACTGATCAGATCACAACTGAGAAAGTGTTCCACCAGCAAATTATCCAAAATTATGGGCCCCATTTTGTGAAACCACTTCTGAATGGAAGCCAATACTGAAAACACTGTCATTTCGTTTTGCAAGATTATTTGATACATGTTTATTAATACTCCATTTTCATTTTGGGAATGAACTTTTAGGTAGTAGCTATGTATGCTAATTTACAAGATAATGGTAATGAAAAACATTTTAATAATTTCATTTTCCAAATAGTAAAAAATTAAAATACTACTTTTCTAGATACAAGCTTTCAAATGAAAAGATAGACTTCTTTTCATAATTCACTTAAGTTTGTAATCAAACCTTCCACATGCATAACTCATCAAATATTGATAGAACTTTCAACCAAAGCTTTTTGTAATGAATAAATGAACAAACCCTAAACTGTAAACCTGATTGCTTTGGCAAAATCTCTCCTAGAACCATAGAATACAAGTAATAATACTAGGTTTTTATCCATCCACATAATATGGTATGGATGTTGCCCACCTCATTGTAGGTGGACATTAAACTGGGTAGCACTTAGATCAATTTAAATCAAGTGAGATAAAACTAGTACATTAGTTGAGAAAAAGCTTGTATAGTTCATAGTATGCAAGTCTAGTGTTCATAATCCCATGTGTGTGTTACATATTTGCTTGGCTTTGCTTTGCATTTTGATCCCTCCTCTCACTACTACTATTTATTAGTGGCTTCTCCCCATCTCTCTCTCTTTCTCTCCCTCCTCCTTGGCTTTGTTTTAGTCTTTGCTCCCCTTGGCCCAAATTTTGGAGGCATTAATAAACTTTTGTTAATATCACCCAACATCGTTCGAAAGCCCACTACGGCCTCAAACACCGCGGGACGGAAAGGTGGAGGAAGGAATGCAAATTGGGCGATGGTGGAACGGGAATGAATCATGTTGGGTTGTGGATTTTTCTTATTTTTGTTTTTCGTTTTATTCTTTTTTGAGGTGTTGAATTCGGTTTGGTGAAATCGGAGCCTTGATTTGGAGCTTTTATCCCAGACGCGTCATGTGATGAAACAAAGACATTGTGATGTCAAGCTTGTTCTCGAAGACATTGACGACAGAGTGGTACATTGTGCTCCCGGAATCAGAGTCTTTTGAAACCTAGTGATCTGTGTGTGTCTGGGTGGTTGCAACGTTGATCTAATCCTGTTTCGGTATCCTTGCCTATGAAGCGTAGTTAGGTTGGATGAGGGATGCCGATCTCCTGTGGAAATTTGACCTCCATTGTTTGCTTTAGGTTTTGTGGACATGTGCATGTAATTTAGCTATTTTTTGAGAAGCGTCTGAAGTGATTACAGGCTTTCAATTGAAAAGATAGAGTTATGCTCATCTGCGCAGCTGAGATGGGTTTCAACGTGGTAGTGCCTATTAGATTTTTCTCAAAAAGACGCAACTTCGCTCCGTACTTCTCATTCTTGATCAGTCGATGTCACATTTAACAGGGATCGTGTATTGTCTGAAACACAACGTTTTCATCCGATTCAAATTCGTGCTCCGATTTCAGTCAAGGTTGCAGTATGTGATTGTGTCGTGGAATTTTGAATTGTGGGTTGTAGTCTGGTCTCTGCTGAATATGGGCGATTGTTTGTGTAGCTTGCATTTTTTTTCTAATGATCCAAGACCTGAAACTCTCATGACTTGATACTTGGGAAATCCAAACTCGTTAGGAAAGAGTTAGCTTGAGAAAGTTAGTCATTCTATTAATCTTTTACCAATAGGTTTAGAATAAGTGGGTTCGTGCACATAGACTCCTCTGTGCAATATTACCGTGTCGGACGGGTGCCAAAACTGATGAAGCTTAAGCACCTGGTCCTTCAGTCTCTGATTTATCTTGTTCAAGGAAAAAATGCAAAGTAGATTTACACGATTAGTTTCACAGGAACGCAATCACGATACCGAAAAGGACGAACGAGCTACTAGAATACTCCGATAAATGTGAATGAATGAATCACAACAATCTTACTGTTTATGTGAATGTACACACACAATAGGACATGCCCTTCGACTTAAAGAGATTGTCTGAGTTTTATACCAAGTTTCAAGGTTCGTTTCCATCTTGAAGCCGTCGTCTCGGGAAGTCTTATTGTGGTATCCCTTACTTGTAGGTATCAATTGATCTCAGCTTGTACTTGCTTCTTTGATGTGCTTCCTTCTAGGTCTGTTTCACATGTACCAATTCACTGCTGAAACCTAAACCTTGTTTTCTGAATGGCTGCAGTGGAAATGCCAGAGGACTTGCCGAAGGAGGTGGTGCCACCGTCAAAAAAAGGAAGAGGGCTGAGACAATGAGTTCCCGAATTAGTTCGATACTTCTTTTTCTTTTTTGAAGTGTACTCTCCTCCTCTTGGTGGGTGAGAACACTAATTAGGTGTCATTACGTTGCACATAAACAATTAATTTCGACCCGTTGTGTGTCTGATTTCGACATGTATTCTGCTGCATCTCATTTCTGCCCCCGCGTGATTTGGAAATGCCCATTCAACACAGCCTGATATTCGGATCCTGGAAAGTTTTGATTCAAAGTTTCATTTCCTTGGTATCCGACTTGGCACAGCATGGCAACAACGTGCATGATTCTAGTCAAAATCTGTTGAATTTCGCATGCAGTCCACTGCTACACAAAACATATAAACGAACTAACAATCAAAAACAGAAATGCTATAATGTTGAAGGAATCCCATCGTCACACCTAATAGACAGGAAGTTCGGCCACTGAAGTGAGACATATTTTCCAATGTACGAATAAAATCTGTCACCCGTGAGAGAAAACAAGACCCACGCACAATCCAACAGAGTGATGACGTTGAAAGTCCTTGGCTGATCTGTCCGCTCGGTAGATGCAGTGAAATGGGTGCGTCACGCAATGTGGGCGGAGAGGGAGAGAAGAGCCGCGGAAACAGACATATCCAGAAACGGTGACTTGTAGAGAGCAAGAATCCCTAAACGATTCCCGAGCCCGTTCGGCACTGGAACCGTCGTCGTCTACATGCTCCCGGGACCCATTTCTAGGCTTGGAAAATCCATCGCCATAACGCTAACATTACCCATCATCGCAGGGTTTATGCAACTGTGTGTTCTGTTTCACGCCAGGGTTGCTTGCATGTGCGAGGTGTTTTGCCGCTCTCGCTTTTTAGTACTCTTTTGCGCGTTAGAGAGTTAGACAAGTAGCGGAAGGATGAGAGGAATCGGTGGCATTGCTCGGCAGCTCCAGCGGTTGGCAGCGCAGAGAGATGGCGCACGGAGACAGCTCACTACAGGGCCGGCTGTTTTTGTGGACAAGACGACGAGAGTGATTTGCCAGGGGATTACAGGGAAGAATGGGACGTTTCACACGGAGCAAGCGATTGATTATGGCACTAACATGGTGGGAGGTGTGACGCCGAAGAAGGGCGGGACGGAGCATTTAGGCTTGCCCGTGTTTAACACCGTGGCGGAAGCGAAGAAGGAGACGAGAGCGAATGCATCGGTTATTTACGTGCCCGCGTCGCTGGCGGCGAATGCGATCTTGGAGGCTCTGGATGCAGAGCTGGATTTGGTCGTGTGCATCACGGAGGGTATTCCGCAGCACGACATGGTGAAGGTGAAGTCGGCGCTGCTGCAGCAATCGAAGACGCGGCTGATCGGGCCTAATTGTCCTGGTATCATCAAGCCAGGCGAGTGCAAGATAGGTATCATGCCGGGGTACATCCACAAGCCGGGACGCATCGGGATTGTGTCTCGATCGGGGACTTTGACGTATGAGGCAGTGTTCCAGACGACGGCAGTTGGGCTAGGGCAGTCGACGTGCGTGGGGATCGGCGGCGATCCTTTTAATGGAACGAATTTTGTAGATTGTCTTGAGAAGTTCGTGAATGATCCGCAAACTGAAGGAATAGTGTTGATTGGTGAAATCGGGGGCTCTGCTGAAGAGGATGCAGCTGCATTCATCAAGGAAAGTGGTACACAGAAGCCGGTGGTGTCATTTATCGCTGGTTTGACTGCTCCCCCTGGTAGGCGAATGGGGCATGCGGGAGCTATCATCTCTGGAGGAAAGGGGACTGCCACAGATAAGATTAACGCTCTGAGAGCAGCTGGTGTGACGGTGTGCGAATCTCCTGCTCAAATTGGATCGACTATGCTGAGGGTTTTCCAAGAGCGCGCCCTAATTTGATCTGCATGCACACAAATTAAATTGGTGAACACTCTTGATGGCGATGAGCTACTTGAAGCACTTTTACTTTCACCTGGCACATGAAAGCTATGCGCTTACTGGCATCTGTAAGTTTTGAATTTCAATATTTAAAACTTACAGCTGAGACAATTGAAGCAGTCCTGCTTACACCTTTTCTTTTCCGAATTGGATGTGAGTTTTTTGAGCGGCATATGGAAGCCACAAGATGAGGGGAATTCTAATGAATTCATTGCTGTCTCGTAATTAATGTTGTGATATGTATTGAATAATGCAGAAACTGAATAATCTTACTTTGGCGTACACTCTTGTGCTGTCACATTACGAAGACTTTGTTGGTGTACCTCTCAGCTGAGCATCTGCCGTATTACTCATCAATATTACTCTGATACATGAGAGTTGGTTAATCACTTTCTATTGATGCGTTTTGAGGACAGTTGCAGTTGTCTCAGCTGTATGTTTCTTCTGGGCCCAGCTTTTTGATGTTCGATTATGTTAGCGCTAAGGTTGAAATCTACGTCCACAGTCGCAGTTTTACAGTTATTTGCAAAGCGCGTGCTGTTTTTGACTTGTATAGTGGATGATTACTAGTTGGAAACGTGTTGGGATTGCAGTATATGATCATAAACGCATCATTAGAAACGCCTCCGGCATGAATTCGGCATGGTTAGGGGAATGTACAGACCAGGACTGAATTCCTCTCTAAATGATTCGCTGTTGCCAGCTTCTCTATCTTGCCCATTGCTGTAAACGCATTATTTGCACACCATCGAGTTAATAACATGTCAATGGAGGGAAGGAATGGTGGCAAAACTTGAGTTTCCATAATCAAGAAATTCAATTAACTGGTGAAAGAGCTGCACAATTCGATGTACATAGCGTTGATGGTACGCATAAAAAATGGTCCTGCAGAGGATAAACTTCTACCTCTGTGTACTTACCATACTATCTCTTGCCCGTCCCAAGCGAAGAACTTCCCGTTGTCCTTGGCATCTATCCTATTAATGATACCTAGCAACCTCTCCACTGAGTATTCTCTTGTGAACAGCTTGCCTTCTGGTACGTTTCGTTGGAAGGGTTTGGAAAGGTCAGTGTCCACTGTTCCTGGATGAAGTAAGATGCTAACGATAGGGTCCCTTTTCCTTGCAAATTCTAACGACGCTGTCTTGGTCACTGTACAAAGCAACACCCACAGTTAAACATCAAATTTCCGACCCAACGTTGATATGAACACAAATAAGTAGATCCTATACCTAGGAAGACTGCATTATTGAACAAGTTTTGCGCAAATGGACGATGACTAGTTCCACATTGATCTAAGAACTTTTTGAACACCTGATATCTTTCCTAGATCTATTCAATCTTTTCACATCAAAATTTCACATACACAGCTTGAAAATATTGGATACTGTACTTACATTGATTTAGTGCGGATTTTGATGCACGGTAAGCATACCATCCTCCTGTTCCATTATCCCCAATGGATCCCACCCGAGCACTGAGATTTGCTATGATTGCTGCGGGCCTGCTAGTCCCCTTTCCTCCTCCCTTCTTCAACAAAGCTGCCATGTGCTGCAAGTGCACCAATATGCAACTCATTAGGTGCAGTCTACGACACCATCAAGGTGAAGACAGAATCCTATCTGATAGAAAGTTTGAGTTAAGTGCTAATGTTTGACAGCAAAGGAATTCCTTTACAATAGTCAATGGACTAGAAACTATATTTAAGCTAACAGCATTTGTAGAGGCAAAAGGGGAAGAACTGGTTTTACACCTTCATTACAAGAAGTGGCCCAACTGCATTAATCTGATACACAAGCGTCATAGCCTCTGGATTCACTTTGAGCAATGCAGTCTCTGCAATTGTTATCGTCAACACAGCCTCGTCAAAGACTACAAATAGTTACACCACTTTTCGCATCTCTCCGGTGTACATGTATAATCCATTTCTAAGTGAATTCTCTCAGGCACACTCTTGAAGATACGGATGTAAAATACAAAGGCAAACCGTGTCTTATGGCATTCAGAAAATACCTTATTAAGGTGAAGTCAGGCAATGACATATGGGGAAAATAGCGCTTACCAGGCTGAATTTTGAGACTACTAACATGGAGGATTCCAGCTGTGTTTATGAGCAGATCCAGCCTTCCGTGCTCTTTGGAAATAAGCTTTGCCGCTTCCTACTATCGTCACAGGATCCAGTTAATTCCTTACGTGGTTTTATACTAAAATTGAGCTGAATTTCCATGCTCATCGTTTCTGGGGGATGCATGGGCTCACATATGACTCTTACTCTATCACAATAAGTAATACATGACTAGGTTGTTGAAATGATTTACCTCAATAGTATTCTCCTTCGTCACATCTAGAGGTAGCAGTGTCAGTCTGCCTGCATGCTGGTCCTTCAGCGACGATAAGTCAGCAGCACTCAGAGGGTCCCTGCAAGATGCAATAACGTGACCCTTTTCTTTCTGTAGAAGCTGTCGTACCTGATAATAACCACAAACAAGTCGCAAATCAGACAACAGCCAACGCTTCACTGCACTACAGCATTTTAGGAACACCATAAAATGTAAAAGTTTGTAATTCAAGGGTTAACGTGCGTTCATGACCCTCGACAGACCTCTCTCTCTCTCTCTCTCTCTCTCTCTCACTCACTCACTCTGCCCCCACCCCACTCCAACTTAACAAGATTATTCAATAATCAAATTGTTTTTAACCGCTAATCCAAAATTTTGATGCAAACAAGCATACTCCCTAGCTTGCAAACACTAAATTTCTAACAAACCAACATGTAAGCAGAGGAAATTGTTCCCAATAGTCACAAATTACGTGCATTGTCCTAAAATTATTCTCTGGGACAAATTGATTGCACTGTAAATTTCTGCAGCGCTCAAGGTTGACGATTTCAGGCAACCAATTTGAAGAGAGAGCGACAGAGAATGACTCTCCCTGCAGCAAGTGTGCCATAATTCAAACTTCCACACACGAAACGAAGCCAATGCAAAAAGGTCAAAGAGAATGCGAGGGATGTAATTGAAAGAAAAAGAATACTGACAAACTCCAGACCGAGGCCCCGAGACGCTCCTTGCACTAGCGACACACCAGCATCGACGCCCCCTACTCCATCTCCACCCAGTCCCTCTGCAGCTATCACCGGTCTCCCAGAATGAATTGTCATTCTGGAGCTCCATCCCCAGCTCCCCAATTGTGTGTGCCTCCCACACAGACCCTCCGTTGCCGGAACTGCCCCCAACTTGAAAATGGCTTTGGGAATTCTTAAGAGTGCCATAGCCAAGCAAATCAGAGCTCGACCTCCTACTCAAAAGTACAGCAGCCTGAGACCCAATACTTCTCCCCTTGTCAATCCACAATCACACAACCGACTATTCCTTGAAGCATTCACCTTCTCCGAAACCTTAATAAAAAAAAGAATGTAGTTAACCCTCAAACTTCTTCCTCCCAGTGACACAAGCACGGGAAACTTCAACTCTTCATCAATACAAACACACATGTGCTGAAAAAAAAATACAACACCCACTTTCTTATGATCACCAACTTCAGTCCAGAGTGAACCCCTCCTGTCAACTGCACATCCAGCCCCATCTCCAGGTCCAGAATGACACACGTCGTGCTGGGATGTAGATCACCCAAAAGCTCAAAAACAGAATTAGGGCCTTTACAAACTCTTCTCCGCATTCTTCATCCAAAAGATATAAAAGAGAGAAATAAATAAGTGCCGATTATACAGTTCCGCAAAAGTGCACTTATGTGAATGAAAGCTGACAATGTTGATATGATTCTTGTGGTTTGATCGACTTCTGAGTAATTCTTCACAACCAAGTGATACAAGTAATCCTACATTTTGTCTAAATAAAAACCCATCAAATCGTTAATGATGTATAGCAGGCATTGATTGTGCACACCAGGACGACACTCACCGATCTATCTCCCCACGTCTACTACTGAAATTTGTGCAGCGAGGTCTCCAATTGATGGACCTAATTTATCTCCGTGCTATATCCTTAAGATTTCGACTCTTACTCTTCTTCTTCTTCTTCTTTTTTCTTTCTTTTATTAACACAAAATCAGAGTACATCCGATAATAGAGTGAAAAAGTACAACAAACTACATACAACATTTATGTGATCATATCATACTAAGGTATTTTAAAGTTTAATTTAATTACTATCTCATTTCAAGAACCAAGTATGTGATTTGTCATTTGTAAGTTATTGTTTGAGAACAAAAGAGTCAAATTATGGATTTTTTCTAATATCTTTTAGACAAATTTCCAACAAATTTGTTCATATTTAATAAGCACTTTTTAAACCAAGCTTCTAATATGGAGTGTACACCACACTTCATTTTTAAAGACAAATTTGTTTCTTTGAATCCAAATAATACAAAGACAAAGATCTCTTAATAAAGATCAGATCTTACAAACATTTGAATCTAAAAGAATAGCTTTTGCAAAAATAACTTCTTGCTAAGCATATGACTTCTAACAATTCCAATTCTAAGAATTAAATGTTAGTTTATATAAAAGAAAGATTGTCTAGTTCCAAATGTAATAGGCTTGATGACAATTTCAAAACCAATAGAAAATAGATTCAAGCATATGAGATTGACACACAATGCAATAAGTATCAATACTAAGGCTAATTTTTCTCTTCAAAGTATTAACTGCTATATCTTTGTGCTATATAAGTCAACTAAACATGGCCTCTTTATAGGAAAAAAAAGTTGGACCAAGTGTTTTTTCAATTAAATGAAAAGTCTTGATCTAGGACATTGCTCCATTTATGTGCCACTAAATTAGTTGTAGAATTACTACTTTAAAGTAAATTTTTACCAATTTTAACAAAATATATTATAAATTCTTCTCTAATAACCTAGATATATGATAGAAGGCCAGAGGTCAAATTAATAATTAGACCATAGCAAAAAAAAACACCAATTTGATTTTAATTTTAATTTTTTGAAAAACAACTCTAAAAAAAAATCAAAAACCTTCCATTGATTCCTATTGTCTTTTAAGTCGTATTCAAGGAAAAAAATATCATAATAGAAGGTTCTAAATTATATGTTTATTCAAAAAAAAAAAAAAAAAAAAAATAGTAGAGCGAGATAAGAGATACCATTTTATTTTCTTCACCACCAACATATTTCAAAGGAAGTTAGAATGTCATAACTAGAAGTTCATTTATTTCCAAATTTCTATAATCTAATTCTATCATTGGATTTTGGAAGCCTATTATTGTAAAGAAGTATATATTTAAGAAATCAAAAAATAAATATGAAGAAAATTTCAAATATAGCTATAAAATAACAAAATATAGTATGTGGATATTGATTCTTTTGTAGTGAAAGGAGTCATTGGTCCTTTAAAGATTTTTTTTACCATTGTAAAAAAATATTGAATAGAAAATTGTAGCTTGTTGGGATCATAGATGAATGTCAATTAAAGAAATTTGAGAATCTAACTATAAGAAACAATTCTATATGTTATGAAATGAGATAGGAGGATTTAGTCAAAAAATTGTATACATATGTATCTATATTTTATTAACTTTCTTCCATCTTTTACATCCAATATTCTATTTGGGATGAGAGATTAGACTAGATTTGGTATTCAAGTTCCATATCTAGTAGCTTAAGCATTCATCATTCTAAATCTAAAAAATTGTTAAATATTGGCTTAACAAAGTTGAAGAATCACTTACATTCATTTGAACAAGAGTGTTTTGGTGGCTTCTTCTAAATAAATAGTATTAAAACCACCTTTTGTACAATTGGTTTAGATATATCAATTTGGTTGGACATGAACATTTAATATAAATACTAATAAACTCTTTAGAACCTTCATTAATATTTCTTTAAATACTTATTACATTGATAAATATGTTCGCAATTAAATAGCACAAACAAAAGATTATTGGTGCTCTATCTAATTCAATATAGCAAGCAGAACTATCATTATGAATAACATTCTACTTCTCTTGTTATATTTATTTTTAGCCAAATAGATTAAATTGGCTAAGCTATTTAAAGTTTTAAGTCTATGGCAAAAACTTTTTGTAGAGAAATATCATGTCGTGAATACAATCTAATGTGGCTTGCTTTGTGTATTATGATATTTATCAAGTAAGTAACATTCTCTTTTTTTCTTTTTTTCTTTTTTATTAAGATGGTAGAGTCATTATTATATTTGCTAATAACTCACTTATAAGGACTCTAAACAATATAAATATTTCATAGATAGTGTTGTTGGACCACATTTTGAATAATAATATTAAGAATTTTGTCAACTAAGATGAATGGATATGGTGTCAAAGAATACCCTTTTTTCACTATTCTTTCTATTAGAAAATATTTTATTATAGCCCTATTCATGCCAACTATTGTAGTTGCACATTGGAAGCTAATTTTAATCATTTGATAGAAGAACTCAAGACCAAGTTTTTTTAAAGTTTTAAATATAAACTCCCAAGAAACTTTGTAATAAGCTTTAAAAAAGTCCATTTTTTAAAAGAAAAGAGTTTGTTTGGAAATTATAGTCTAATTTATAGTGTCTTGAATAACTAATACATTATATACAATAAAATGTAGAAGGAAGAAAGTGGTTTGGTCAAAGTAAATAACCTCCATAGAAATTGCTTAGAGCCTCTTTGAAATACTTTAGTATAAAGTTTTTAGAAGGTATTTATTATTGTGATAGATCTCCAATTGCCAAACTTCAATTTATCATCACATATGTGCAAAATTCTATGTAAGATTTGACCTTTAACTAAAACATTATAAATTATAGAAATATAGTCATTACAAATGATATGCCAAAAGATCTAGTAAAATTCAATATCTACTTTGTTTGGACTAAGTGCATTTGTTTTAGTTATATTCATAATAACCTCTTCAATTTCATATATATTTAATGTCTTTGATGAATTCTTATTTATATTCTCAATAAACTTATGTGGAATATTATTAAGCAAGATAGTCTTGGCTTCTTTAGATTCTTTAAATCCTTAAAGTTTTTGTAAAAATTAAAGAAATCAAATGAAAATGTTTTGTAAATCTTTAGGGTTTCTTTGTAATTTACCTCAAGAATTTTTGAGTTTGGTGATAATAAATTTAGAATGACAAATTTTAATCAAAATAATTAATATTTTTTTATTTATCTCTAATTAATCAAAGTATGCATTATTTTTTATTTTTTCTTGTTACTAATCTTTAAGTTGATTGAAGAATACTTCAACTTATTTAAGACAAGCTTAAAGGCCAGTGTTGTAAGGACTTAAGTTGATTGAAGAATACTTCAACTTATTTAAGACAAGTGTAAAGGCCAATGTTGTAAGGACTTAAGTTGATTGAAGAATACTTCAACTTATTTAAGACAAGCTTAAAGGCCAATGTTGTAAGGACTTAAGTTGATTGAAGAATACTTCAACTTATTTAAGACAAGCTTAAAGGCCAATGTTGTAAGGACTTGTTTAAAGAGAAATCTAATAGAAGATATAATTGAATTTATAGTTGAGTATTAAAAACAAATTTCATCATTGGAGAACTTAAAATTTATTTAAATAAAAAATAATCATTTTGAAATTAGAAGGTTTAGATATTAATTATTTGAGTTGAAATTGAAATTCAATAAAGAATTGATTAGAAAGTGCACAGTTACATCTATTATAATAATCTTGAATTTAATCAATTTGTAATGAAAAAAAACTAATGTAGACTCTTACTAACTTAAAAAAAATACACCTTCTTCATCTCTTTTATAATTCTAAGAATAGTTTATAAGATTGATGTATTCAAAGGCATCAATAAAAAAGAAGTGTGATTTGAAATAATTCCAATTATTATTTTTATCCACAAAAAGAAGTTTTATCTCTTGCATATTCAACCTTATTCTAATCACTATAAATGTAAGTGGTATCGGAAGGTAATAATTTTGTAAGATTTGGACACATCTTACTATATTCTTGATACTTACTAGAAGTATATGTTAACAATGTGTACAGATTTGCCAAATATACAATTAATAGTAATCAAAAGAATCTTATTATGTATAAGATCTAAACAATATTGTCTTATTGAAAAAGAAACAAGTATACAAACTCCACCAACACTTGTATTGTCCAAGTTGTTTACATAGTTAGGTACAACTTTTAATATAAAAACAAAAAAATCCACACATTTGGCCATAAAATCCATCCCAGATATCGTACTCTAGAGCCACGTAGTTTATGCTCTTGAATGAGAAGCATATTTATTATTGCACATAGAAATACAAAAACTTAACATATGAAATGCTTATCGACACACTTAACTTGCTCAAGCCTTTGCTACACTGCAATTCGAAAACCAGAACAATCCATGATTGCCCTGGACGAGCTTAAGGTCACAGTTCTGAATTCATGTAAGTTGCTGCAGATGCTAACAATAAGTAACAAAATATGAACTGCGCAAGTGCTGTGGGGAACTATATCAAAGCCAAAAAATACTTTAGCGCAAAATAACAAAAATCTAAAATAAGACTTGATTGCTAAGTGGAGGAGGTGCAAGTGAAAACAAGAACCAATTTGAACTCGTGAGGATAACTCTACTTCCGGTCACGTTGATCAAAATTCCGACACATGAGACTTAACTACACAAAACAATAATGTAAATTATCGTTATTGAGCAATTATGTCAATCCTACCAAAGGGCTTCAAAGAAATATTTCATTTCAGCTCGTTCAACGCCTTTTTGGCGGCAATATCATCACCATGACAGTTGTGAAGCGCGAACAAAATACAAAATAATGAAATAATATAAATAAATAAATAATTGCCGGTGCTAGAAATCAAACCTTCACCTTAAAACAAAGTGATTCAAAATCATGTCAGTAACAGGTTGATTCAATCTTAAGAGGAACTCACAAAGGTCCGAAAACTAATTTGAGAACCGCACCGAACGCAGAACACTCAAACCACTGACGACAGCACGCCCTGAATTAGCTATGGCCATGGCCAAGTTCTAGTGGTATTCTCATACTCCAAATCTATTGATTCCTTGAGCTCCACTAGACCTTCGAAAAACCATCAAATACATTTCACTACATACGAAAGCGGAAAAAAAAAAAAAAAACAAACAAACAAACAAACAAAACAAAACAAAACAACAAACACACATACACACACAGCAATTGGATCGATACGGAAGCAGAAAACAACGCCAAGCAAAAGTTGCCGTGATGGAAAATGACCACAACGCAAACGAGAACGCTCGAGCGGGAGCGTCAATGGCAGCAGCAGCAGCACGGCGTGGCCTGATGACAGCAAAAGACCTCTCTCTCTCTCTCGGGTTTCAAATCCCAATTCAGAGGCGAAACCCTTTTCTTCAAAGAAACCCTTAGTCCACATTTGGCAGGGCTGCTTAGAGGTCCTCTTTATCCCCACCCATCCCACTTGTAAGTGCCACGCTAACTTGGATTTTGCGCCGGAGCACACCTACTTGGCCCGTTTTGTTTTGCAGTGGTTTACATCCGTTTGCAATTGATGCAAGTCTAAATACCACTTACAATGGGGTAAAATCACGGTTTCCCTCTTATTACGAAAATAAATAAAATATTAATAGTAATGAACATAATAGTATTAATTATGTTTTTGAATAAATATATAAACACACATATAATTATATACTCATTTGTTTTTATATAAACTTTAAAACTTCTATTGTTACTTGTGTAAATTTTTAAAAATGAAAGAATTTACATATTTACTAATATTTTACTTTGGATTCCACTTATTATAATTAAATTTTTGTTGGAATGATTAGCCTATCAATTGAAATTTTAGTGCTTTTACAATGATAATAGCAATAACATATAATAGCAATAAAAAATAATTTAAGTTGCATGTATATATATATATATATATATATATATATATATATATTCTATTTTTAAATATCATACCTTTGATTATGTTATTGGAAAAACTATTAACTTTTAAAACACTAATATTGCAATCTTTTTTGTCAGATTTAATTAGTTGTTCGGCCTTTAAATTGTATATTTCATCATTTTTTATAATGAAGTATATAAAAAATATCTATAGAAAATTTATATATGTTGATAGTATACAATAAAAAAAAGATAAATAGGATTATGTTTATTGTAAGCATAAGTGTCAAAATAAAGTTTTATTTATCAATGACCTCAACACTAATATAAAATTTACATTAATTAATTAACTCTCAATTATTTTTAAAAAGTGAAATTTAATTATTTTCAGAATAATTAATAATTTATTAAATATCTTCTTAACTATTTTCATGTACATATATATATACATAGAGAGAGAGAGAGATATGTGTCCTTTTAAACAATAGTTATTGTATGGGTATGGCTTATAATTTAGCAACATATAATTATTTAGGAAGAAATATTGATTTGAGCATATAGAGCTTGTTTTTGAGATTTGTTAATAGTTACAAAATATAATATCTTTTTTTTTACAGATTAATTGTTTCTAAAAAAAGAAAACAGATATTAATGCCTTAATCCAGATACTGATTTAGATAAGGATCCTAATTTCATAGATTAGATTCTCATTTTTTTAATTTTAATTTTTACCCTTAATAAAATACATCAGCTTTGTTTTGAAATATCTCACACTATATTTATATCCATCATTACATGTAATTTTGGCACCAACAGCCGAACTACGGTAATTCTATAAGCAATTTAAATGATATTATTATTATTATTATTATTATTATTTTCTCATTATGATTGTATTCTAAATAAGCAGCAATTTAAATTGCTTGTAGAATCAGTGTGTATTGATCTAAAAATTGATGATTCTTTTTGTATCCATGGAATATTGTAGAGGTGTCAAGTGATAAAATCTCCTCTTTAGAAGAACAAGTATTTAAGCATGTGGCACCTGTAGATGGGTGATTAAATTGTGGCAATTGAACTTTAGATTTTAAGCTCTTCTTTGTTGTGAAGGATCTCTTCGGTATTGCTGTTCATGCTAAAATTTCTAAGAATGGAGTAAAACTTCATTGGAACTATTTATTAAACATGTAATAAGTACTCAACATCTACTCTCTTAAAACATTTATGCTTGTTTGGTTTCTTAAGAAATTATATCTCTTTACTTAAAAGACTTTTTTGAAAAAAATCCAATTGTCTATGCCATATACAAATTTACAAATACAAGAGTACTGCAAGTTATATCTTGTGTTTACTGTAACTTTAATATCAATCATGTATAATTCATATCTTGAGATGTTTTAACCTTAAAAATTCTCTAAACAATTTATGATCATTGAAACATCATGTGTGTTTCTTGTGCACATATTTGCAACACAAGTCTATTTGTGTAAATCTCCTCAAAATACAATACATATGTGTATATATATATATATATATATGTGATGATGATGATGACATTGTTTGCCCTTCTACACATTTCTTTATAACTCTTCTTCATCAAAGCAAATATTTCTTTCTTTCTTTCTTTCTTTCTTTCTTTATTTTTTTGTAATAATTCAGAAGATTTATAGATGGATGAGTAGGTGCTTAAATATAAACATAAATAGATATTTGGCTCTTTAGATAAACCAAAAAAAAAAAACACAAACAAACAATATTACTTTTAATATACAAATGTACATTTTAAAGTAGACAATTAGATTTTTTAACAAAATACTTATGGCATGGTAGTTCTAGATCCAATAATATGGTATCAACAATATTATTAAAAGTTTATATCATAGTGATTGAAATTTAAAGCCAATTATTTTTTTTTTTTTAATGTTTAATATAAAACTTTTAGATAAAAGAATAATTTTAGATACTACTAAGTTTCATGCATATTACAAAAAAAAAAAAAAAACAAAACAAAACAAAACAAAAAAAGAATACATACATACATACATACATACATACATGCACACACACACACACACACACTTGTATATAGAATATTTTTAAAACTATTTACAAAACTTCAAAAAACCAAATTTGCAAAATAGAAACAAAAGGCACACATCCCACCGTAGAGCGTGCCTAATATGGAAATTGTAGAAATTGATACTCGTGAACACTGAATCTATCCCAAACCCCAAAATCCAAACAACTTCGAAATTATCCAAAACTTCATCATCTTTGTGTTGAGCGGGTGGTTATAGAAAATTTGGGATCGAGGGTCCATGACAATGAGTCGGATGAATGAAAACATGAGACCAATGGAAGATCACCATGGATGAATGTATCGAATGAACGCAACCGATAAAGGCCAGGACGAATGAAGCAGAAGCAGTGGGGGGGGAGTGAGTGGGTGATGTGGAGCTCCTGACTAGCTGACAACGCATGTGGGGGCAATGAAGACGCCGGGGGACGTGACCTAAGCCCAGCTGCCAACTGGGATCCAGAGAGAGGTTCGGGGACAGGGTCTTCTCTCTCCCCTGCAACAAGAGAGAGAGCAAAACTTTCTATTCTGCCCGACCCCGCGGGCACCTGGAAAGTCATGGACTTATCGTCACAGGTCCTCCACCGTTATCAAATCCCGCGTAGACTTTTCTTAACCCGTTATCGTGGATGAATACCATCCCCAAGGATGGCGGCAGATGACGGGGTCCATGGATGGGATGCGATGACGCTTAGGCATGCATGGACATGGTGGCATGGGGTCATTCAAGGCGGGGGGAGGAGTAAGAAGCGGCGCGGGAGGCGGGCGGAGTCAATTCCTGTGTGCACCAATTCATTCATCCCCCCCCCCCCCTGCGCGGCATCGGACGCTGCTCATTCATATTGCTCTCTCGAATCTGCTGGCGCCGGGCCTTTTTTGCGTTGTAGCCCTTCCGCCGTGTTGCACCGGGTGCCTCGGCCGCCTTGCCACGGAAAGCTAGCGGTTCCGTTCCATCACTCACCCCACTTGTTGCGGCCCTCGAGCGTGATCCACGTCCGCTCGAATTCTTGATTTGGAGTGTGATGCTTCCTTTGCTTCTGTCTGGATGCAGCGTCCCTGTAGTTGAGCTGTCGGTGAGGGCAACGTAACTGTTGTGTTTGGTTCCGGATGCGGTGAAGGTCACTGGCAGGAGTCAAAGGAGGGGGAGGGGAAGTTTAAATGGTTGTGCACATGAGGGGAATTGTGTCAACAGTGCCAATATACTCTGGCGGTAGAACCGTTGTGTAGAGGATTTTAGGGGTCCCCCCCCCTTTTTTTTTTTTTTTTTTTTTTTTTTTTTGCAGGGGAGTGGCAGCTGCCGGTTGAGAGTGAAGGTAGGTGAGTGATCTCCCAGGTTATAACGAAGCGGATATTTAGATATCAATTTGTTGATTCGGTTGTTGGAGAAGATTGCGAGGGGAGAATGGTTTTGGACTCTATCCTAGAAGACTTGAAGGATTTACGCCAAGGAATGGGATTTTGTGAGCTCGCTGAGTAATCTCGTGCAATTGCATTCTCGGATGGTGATGGATCAATGCTTAATCTTGAGTGCTTCAAACGGTCAAATGACCTGAGGGGTGAACGGAATGCGCTAGCTAGCTCTAGCGTCATAGGAGTGAATATAGATATGGAATCATTACAGGTACAAGTGGCTCAGGCCGTTCACATACTGAATCACGACACACAATCAGTCAATCGTGTTGCTGCAAATCAATGGCTGGTGCAATTTCAGAACACGGATGCTGCTTGGGAAGTGGCTACTACGATTTTGGCCATGGATTCGTCTCCAACGATTGATTTTGAGGTCGAGCTCTTTGCTGGCCAAGTCCTCAAACGAAAGGTTTGTATCACTTTCTTTCTCTTCTACCCTATTCTGCTCAATCTAAAATATGTTACTCAATGCATACATAGCATTTTGTGAGTTTGAACTGTGTGGGATGCACCCGTGCCACCATGTTCTTTTCTTTCTGTTAATGCCGATCTTGAGCAAAAAATGTGTTTCAGTTTTGTTGCATTCGACAAAGTGGACTTATTTAGGTCAGCATTTGGGAGACGGTTTAGGGACTCTAGCAAAGCGCATTCATATATTCTATTATGCTCACTATTTTAATAATGAGCACGGATTGGAGGCATGTCTACGCCCAACTTAATTTTTGCGCTCTCTATGGTTGATGATCAAGCAGGGCTGTTATTTTTCAATATTTGCCCTCTGTCCTTGTTGCGGAGTAGGCATTGATCTTAGAGTTTTATACTTCGGAGTTCATTAATACTCTGGAGATATTTGATAGCTGTTACAGATTTATAGCTTGAGAATTAGTCTGAACTACTGCGATATACTTACCATGGCTTCTTGCACTTGCCATCAATTCATATTTCTCACAGATACAGTGCGATTTTGGAAATCTATCTCGAGAAGGGCGGGCTGCTTTGCAAAACGCATTGCTCGTATCTGCCAAGAAGTTTAGTAATGGGCCTTCTCAGGTGTATGTCTTTTGCCTTCCACAATTAAATAAGTCAAGAGATGAATCATTTGTGCTTTAGGACATGTATTACCAGCAGTTCTTTTATCTTCCAAGCCCGTGTGTCTATGCACAATAGAAGGTGATAAGTTTCAGTGAGGTACATTTTGTTGTCTTACAAGTGAATCGTCATCCTGCTTTCCTGCTTGCTGCTTACTTGGGTTTATCGAGGACAGCAAGACAGCACTCTATAAGACAGCTGGACAGGGATGAAAGACTTCAATTCGTTGTTGTTGTGGGCAGCTTTTGACCCAGATATGTGTCGCCCTATCAGCCCTAGTGTTACGTGCAACTGAGGCGAGGAAGCCAGTTGAACAATTATTTGCAAGCCTGAACGAGCTGCAGGGTCAAGGCACTGGTAGCAATGCAGTGTTGGAGCTTCTCACAGTCCTACCTGAGGAGGCTCTCGAGGATCAATCCTTGCTTTCCAGTGTTGATCCTGGTAGAAGGACGCAGTTTTCTAGAGAAGTAAGTATACCTGAATTACTAATCCGTCCATTGTCTGAAATAGGTTTTTGATGGAGTTTATGATTGACAAGGCGTGTTCTCTCTGATGCTGACAGTAAGCATTTTCAGGATTGGAATAGTTTTCATATGCTATCTCTCACTGGGTTTTTCTTGGTTGTTTTTGTGGGCCCTTACTATGACTCACAGTGATTTGTCGATCGTTATTTCCATGTTGACATGTTACTACGCTTTGATTCTGTCTAAGCTCATGAGAAGGTTAAGTAAATTGCAGGGTTATTACTTTTCAATTATCTTACTTCCCCATTTTGTATATGTTCTGGCAGATTCTTTCTCACACAGGTGCGGTGCTTGAGTTTCTTCTTCAGCAAAGCGCCAATGAAGGCTTAGATAAGCACAATAGGCGGTCTAAGGTCCTTCGTTGCCTTCTTAGCTGGGTACGAGAGTTTCTTCTTTCTAAAGAAACCGACAACTAACATTTTGGCTTAGTTGGACCAAAGCCGCCTACACTTCTTCGCTCGCGTAAATTTTTCTAGTATCATCCTCATCTTAGCTTGGGATCTTGAATAATTTTTCGAGTCTTTTAGCCAACAATCGTGCGCTTGACAAGTATATTGGGACGAATTTTTTTTGATTGAAATTTTGTTCATGGGTACATTTTCTATTATACAGGTGCGTCTTGGATGCTTCTTGGAAATTCCTCAAAGCGCTATACCTAGTCATCCACTCTTGGGGTTTGTGTACGGTTCCTTGCAGGTAGCGGCTGCTTCGCATATTTTCCTCTAGATTTTTCTACGATATTCCAACTTTGAACCTGCTGAATTTGATCATAGAAGGAATCATGGCTGTTTATAATAACGCAGAAGTTGTGTATTTGTGCAAGCTTAGATATCCAATCTGTAGAGTAGTGTATTTCATATAATTAAGCATAGTATGTCCTTGCAAGTTTTATAAATATTGGATATTGTTCAGGACCCAAGCTCGTTTGAATTGGCAGTGGAGGTGCTTACAGAACTTGTCAGTCGTCATGAGGTATTTTTTTTTTTTTTTTTTTTTTTTTTTTTTTTCTGTTAATGGTGATGCTTAGTTTTAGACGATTTCATCAGTGGTGAAACACTATTCAGTATCCACTTATACTAAGGTCCTCTACATTCTTGAGGTTTATAAGGCTTTGGTCATATTTTCGTTTGTGCTCTAATAGATAGACTGCCAGTAAGTCCTTTCCTCCTGACCTGTGCAGGGTTTACCTCAAGTATTGCTTCCGCGGATGCTTGATGTGAAGGATGTGCTTTTAATGCCAGCCCTGGCTGCGCGTGAAGAAAATGTTGTTAGTGGTTTGGCTAATCTTATGGCAGAGCTGGGCCAGGCGGTACAGAATCGTGCATCGCCTTTTCTCTCTGTCCATCAATGTATCTTAACCTCCTTGAGTATCAATTATTGTACTAGTCGTGTAAGATGGATATGTATACAAATATTAGAGATGCCTCTGTGTGCTACAAATCATGGATTCAAATGCTGAACAATCAATTTTTTCACTGAGAAAGTCATGGAAGCTGTCACCTTGTCAAGTGTTACTGTCGCGCAGCCCAGTCAGCGTTAATGAATTTGTTTGCAGGCTCCAGCATTGATTGCGCAAGGGAGCAGAGAAGCTTTGGATTTGGCTGATTCTCTTTTGCGGTGTGTTAGTTATCTAAATCATTTCCTATTTCTCTTTTTGTGCTGAGATTGTTTTGGGGCTAGCGTCATTGCATGAATGCTCAGCTTTTGCCGAATTTTTTTGCCATAGAATTCAGCAACTTCATTATTTTTTACATGCCGAATAACTGCGTTACAATTGATGTCACCATGAACGACTTGGGTATGCTTGCAGACTCGTTGTACTTTCCTTGTGGTGTTGTTCGTTGATCTGACATTTCTGTGCATCTAGATGTGTCTCATTTCCAAGTTGTGACTGGGAGATTGCGGAATCTACTCTTCAGTTTTGGTAAATTAACTTTTTTTTCGCTCCTATTATGTTTTTATTCTACTACTAAACATTTTTATGTCTTAGACCGATTTTATATTCGGAGAGAATGCATCAACGCTTTTGCTCAAGCGTAAGTCTTTTACTGTGGACGGGCGTCAATGAATGCTGAACTATTTTTTGAAACTTGTTTTACGATTTCTGATACTGGTATGGGGCACTTTGAATTGTGAAGGTGCGCACTTGCTGAATTTTTGCTCTCCTCTGCGGATACTACCGCAGCGGTCCAAATGTTTACACCTGTGTACAGTGCCCTTCTCGAGGCCCTGATTGCAAGGGCTCAGGTGAGTAGATAAGTGTATAAAGTTGGTATTGGTATGAATTCATGAGAAGTATCTGGTTTAATCCTATGAAGCGTTCAAGAAAGTTTTAGTGCCCGCAAACATCGAGTTCCTTAGATCCAGCTTTTAGCGATTGAAAATGATTTATTCGATACATTTAAGATGTATTTTTTGGTTCTATAGGTGCCAGATCAGCTCGGAGAGGGTGGTTATGCTGAAGATGACCTTGATCGTGCTAGTGGACTTCCTGATGGTCTTGCTCTATTTCGAAAGAATCTAGACGAACCCCTTGTTGATATTTGCCGCTTATTGGGGCCAAATCAATTCCTTGCATTGGTGTGAATCGAATTCCCCCTGCTTTTCAATATCTGGTGTGTTGTAACAATTCATTGAATCTGAGTTTGGGATGTGTGAAGTGATGTATTTCCCTTCACGTTAACGGTCGTTAGCCCGTTTCCTTCAAGAACTGAATGTGAAGTCTTTTGTAGTTTCTTTGATTAGTAGGGCGTAGCTGCTTTGAACAGTTATTAATTCTATATTCGTTTTTGTAGAGGTCCATGGAGGCTAACGAAGTCTGTCGTATTTATGTACCCTCCTTATATGTGTCGACTTTGGTTGCTGAATTTTTTCTGTGAGGAATTCCTGGGAATATTTTGACTGTGGAAGTTGGTCCTGTGCTTGCAGTTACTTAGTGGAGCTGAGACATGGTCTCAATTTGAGACTTCAACACCTTGGCGATCAGTGGAAGCACGCCTCTTTGCATTACACATGGTCCACCACCGACAACCACCTGGTTTTGGATTTAAGGGCCAAATATTATCTTTGGCATATTTTGATGCATTAGAAGGTGAACCCTGTCTTGTTTTGATATCTTCCTTGATGTGGTTGCTGCATGACACTTTTTCTGTCACTGTTGTACAGGCATCAGAGGTGGTGTTGTCAGAAGGACAACTTTCGGACATCAGGCCTGTAATGCACCTAATTATTGTTCTTCAGTCCAGGTCTTCCCAGATTGATCCAAACTTGTTGCACTTGGTACTTTCTTTTAAACCATTTTGAGATTTTTTTAAACAAATTAAACTTGTTTAGGCTTAGAATTTTAGATGATGGATGCATGCCTGTTATTTCCATAAATGTATGTGGTCAGATTCTCTACTGTGTATCTGGATAAGTTTAATGCACTCGAAGCCCTTGTATTACTTTATTTTGATATGAAAATATTTCTTGATTGTTTTCTTATCAAGCGAATGTTTTCTTTGTTCTCCCTTTATGTTTGAGCTTTTGTGAGTTCTGCGGAGTTTGGACGATCGGCTGTTTATTTTTGAAAAGCTCAATTGCTGAGTTGTACAACCCTTTGGTTTGATGTCGTTCAGGTCCAAAAGTCAGCTGCCGAAGTTGTTGGATCGTATTCTGGGTGGTTACAAAGCTTTCCTACTGTTGTCACGCCTCTATTGTAAGTAATATAGCACAAATCATTGTATGTTTTGAATTGTTGTTTTCCTTTCAATCTTGTCTTCATTATGAAAAGCAACATGTAGCCCTGGGCAGTGCTCATTGATTTTGACATGGTCTAACTCTCAGCAAATAAAGTCATTGTGCTGCAGCTGAAGTCTGGTATAGTTTCATAGGCACTTGTAATTTTTCTTTGATAATAAGGGTTGTTAATCTAATAGCAGTGGTTTTCGTGTTGTATAAGTATTCCACCACATGCAGTCCCTTTTTGACAGGTGTGTGTGCACTATGTGCAGGGCATTTTTGGCAAGCGGTTTGACGGTTCCAGTAGCAGTAAGTTCTTGTGCTGCTGCTTTGCGGAAAGTTTGTGAAGATTTGCCCAGTCTTTCACATGAATCATCCAACATTGCTGGGCTACTACGTATTGGCGAGGTAGTTGCTCATCCATGCCTTCTTTTTTTTAGTATTATTTACTTTTTAAAACTAAAAACTGAAATAACAATACATGGTATAAAGTTTAAAACAAATTAAAATAAATTTACCCTTAATTTTCTTTCACAAGTCTCATATATATAAATATATATATTTATATTTTTGAGATGTCAGGGCAACGTGGTTTTCTGTTGGAGATGATCTGTGGATGTGATTATTCCTAGTTGATTCCAACATCAATCTTGTTTCACTTCAGGAGCTGCATGCTGTGCCATTGTCTCTTGAGGAAGAGGAAGATGTAATGTGTGCGATTGGCCGAGTATTGTCTTCCCTGACAAGTGTAGCTGATTTGAACGCTGCTCTAGAGCGGTTGCTGAAACCCAGCCATGATGCAATCGAAGCATTGGTATGATTTTATTTCCAATGTTGTATTATCTTGAATATTTGTTATCAAACGTGATATGGTTCCATCAAAATGAGCTCCGGAATTGTGCTTATCTACGAGTTAGAGGGAATTGATTGTATCTTTCAAATCTTTGCTGCAGCAAGGCGAGTTCTGGGATTTGGCTTGCAAATACGTCTTAGATTTTCGAAGCTTCTTTAGTGATTTCAGTGTGAGGAATTGGTTATTGAGCGACTTTGTGGATTGCCGTACCTAGAGAAAGTTTTTTGATTATTTGGATATGGTACTATCAAAATGAATGTTTGCAGTTGAGTTCAGACAGTGAGGGTTCACTCAGACTTCATTCAACAGCATATTCGGCTGCTTTAGAAGCTGGCATCAGGGCTGTTCATAGGTAAAGACTTGACCTTCAAAAAATGTTCTGTGCTGTTCTCTTTTGAATGTCTCGAAATGTTTTGGATAGTGCATGATGTAATCTACAACAGCATATTTTAATATTTCTGGTGTTGCTACTATGAAGTAAAAATATTTTTAGGAAGTTTATTTGACTTAAATGTTGGAGTCACGTAAGTGTAACTGGGGATGAGTCACTCGAGAAGTCTACGTGATACACTAAAGCAGATAAATGAAGACTTTGAGGATTAGTTTTTGAGGATCCGAATATGAAATTTTGAACTTTTAATACATTTTGGTATACCTTTACATTGTTTCACTGGACATTTTTGTGTCGTTACAGAATAGGTCAGTTGACAGCAGCTCTTTCTTTACCAGCCAATGGTGATGAGCCAATTTTGAGAATTATAGCACATTTCTGGCCCTTATTTGAGCGACTGCTTGCTTCCCGTCACATGGAAGACTCTAGTTTGGCTTCTGCAACTTGCAAGTCTCTTTCACAGGCTATTCAAGCATCAGGTTCGATTGGTTTGTTCTTGCTTAATTAGTTATTGTGAGTATTTCGTTTTCTTTCCGGTTGTTTGGGTTCTAAGTAAACGAACTTCAGTTTGGCAAGCTCTGTTTTCTTTCTGGCTGTTAAGCTGATCGTCTCAGTTCGGCGTGCATGTATTGAAAGGAAGTTTCTCTTGCTGTGTGCCCTGATAGTTTGGTTGCTCACGAAGAACAGATAATAGTATGTCACTTGTTCTGCTTGGCCTCTTGGTCGTAAACTAGTTTTACGGTGAAAATGCAGGTCGGCTATTTTCTTCTTTGCTTCCTAATATCATGGCAGCCATGTCCAATGATTTTCTATCATTCCAATCGCACGTGTGCTTCTTAAAAACAGGTGCGACCATCTTTGTAGTTTGTTCTTATGAAACCCGACAAAATCTTAGTAGGGGTTCCATTACTTCATCATATGCTTGAAAATATGGACCTATACTCAATTTGGGGGGGGGGGATTGCTGATACATCTACTATTGCTTTCAGGTTAACATGGATTTTTGCTACATTTTCATTCTGTATTCGTCTTTAATGTCCTAACCTTAATACCCGCTGGGAATGTAAATGGCAAATTACAGCTGGGATAGCTGTGGAGGAGTTTGGTCAGGAAAAAGAACATGGGGCTCTTATTGTGGAGACATTACTTGTTTTGACGTCCTCTGAAGCTATGGCTGCAATGACTACATCGTATTCATGCGATCAGGAACCCGAGCTTGCCGAGGCTTACTTTGGTTTATTATCAACATTTGTGCGCAGCTGTCCTCATGTAATGAGCTTTCCTGAATCACTCTTTCTGGCATATCTACAACTATCTGTCATATTTATCACACTGAAGTTCGCATTTTGTGAGTCTTTGCATGAGGAATTCTGAAACAAGAAATCACTGCAGTATTTTTTTGGCTGGTCCTCAAGTACAGATGATACTCTATGTGTTGAATTGTGAATAAAACTAAAAAAGTGTACTGTTGATGGCACGCCTACTTGGATTTATTTTTTAGCCTTAATATGATTGTATGCATACAGGAAGTTGTAGCCGCTGCAGATACTCTCCTGGAAATTTCATTCAACCGTGCTTCTATCTGCTGTACAGCAATGCATCGAGGGGCAGCTTTGGCTGCCATGTCCTATATGTCTAGTGCGTCTCTTTGACCTGTAGGCTTAGTATTAAGTTGTTGCCACCAAGGACCCTCGATTACCAGGACATGTGGTGATTATAGATACTCGAAGGAATTCTGTTTTTAAATATTATCTTTTGTATTCTTTTCGTGTCCTGGGTTACGAATTTAGGAACTAACCGATACCTTTGTCCCTGAACAGACTTCTTGGAAGTTGCATTGTCAGCAGTCACATCCCTTAGAGGTGTTTCTTCGGATGGATCACTTTTGGCTGCTGTCACTAGAATGTGTGTACAATGCGGTGAAAATGTTGTTTCAGGCATGATATATGCATTACTTGGAGTTTCCGCAATGACGAGGGTGAGTCTCAGCGAGCCCTGTGTTTTATCACCTATTCAGAACACCTACAAATTGATAGTTTCCAATGATTATAATTAAGCTGTAATTATCTGAATCAAATGTTTGGAAACTTTACGCAGGTTCACAAGGCAACTACCATACTTCAGCAAATTTCAGCTTTGTGTTATTTCAGTGGAAACGTAGACAGCCAGTCTCCTCTAAATTCGTTAACTTTACAAGGCTGGCTAGTATCTGCGGTTAGTATTACTTCAACTTGGCTGTTATCATCTTCTCTTCTTCTTAAACTGCTCTATCTTAAGTTTTTTTTAAGGGCGTGAGTTCGGTCAAAATAGGTCTTTTCCTTCGAGTTTTACGTGATTGATGTGAAAGAGTACAAATTTCTTTAGTTTGAAGCACCTTTCTAATTGTATGCATACGATTAGTACTTTCGACAACTTTTCCTGAAGATAGGGTCTGTTGTGCTCAAATACTTACCAAATTCTCGTTCTACAATCCAGGTTCAAGCTTTGCCATCTGAGTACTTAAAACCTGGAGAGGTCGAGACACTGGTGCCTACATGGCTCAAAGCTATGGAGGCTGCGGCTGGTGACGTATACAAGTCCAAAACGTCATTGAGTAATGGAGGCCGGGCAAGTGGAGGTGGTTATCTTCAGGGAGACGGTGGCCGCATGCTGAAACGTGTGCTTCGGGATTTCGCAGATGCACATCGTTTCACTGCTCCTACATATGGGCCCAGCTGACACTAAGATTCTCGAGTCCACGTCATCTGTAGCAACGGAAGCAAGCAGGACAATGTGCACAACTAATGTCCGGTTTTGTGGGACCAGGAACAACCTTTTTCTGGATTCTTAAGCCTATTTCTCACTGCAGCGTCTGCTATGTTTTCAATATTTGGAATGTTACGACTTTCTGCTACCCGCTTGATGCAGATAATTCCGGCTTTCATTCTGTGTCTGTTGGTAGTTTTTTGTTCTCATGGAATTTTTGTGCACAATTCTATGCCAGAACAACAAGCTATCTATTTAAATTGTGAAGCCTCACATTTGTGTGAGTTTGTGGTGGAGCTGGTGTTTAGATGCCTTGAAACGGTGCGAAAAGTACCAATTAGATTCGGCATAGCAGAGAATGCAGCAGCTAGATCACTCAGGAAAGTAACGTGCTTGTTAGTTCATGATGTTTGTAGCAATCAACTACATTCAATGCAGCTGTTCCTTTGGATTGTCTTATATAAAGTGGTACCAAATCTGCTGCATCAGTTTTGGCAGCATGATTTTTTTGTGTAGTCGCATCTTCTGATTGACAAACTTCGTTTTCAACCTCCTTTTCTTTCCAAAATCAGTTGTTTCTATCGTCACTTTATCCTGGAAGTTAGAAACATGTGAATCCAAATGAACATTAAATACGTACTTCTACATACTCTTGGCTGAAACTATTAAAATTTCTATTTTGAGCTTATTAACATTGTATCGAACGGCGTATGCCCCAGTGTTTGCCAAACTCAATTCTTAAGTGCGTGTGATGAATTACCTCTATACACTTAGAAATAAATCACACCTCTTATCTTTCCCTTGGATGCGATGGTGTAGAACTCATTTCTCCGCGGTATGCAGTCGCTGATGGTCGATTCCTATACTACGGAATTCGCACTGAAATGTGGAAACCCAACAGAAAACAATGTTGAGCAAATATCAAACATTTCCTGACATTGGAATTAGTGGTACAGTTAGATTCAGGAATAACCTGTTTGCCGATAAACATATGCATCGGAGACAATTTCTGGGTGATGGGTAGATTGATACCCGCCTTAATGTAGTCTCTGCCTCTCTAGGTTCTGGCAGACGGAAGCATGGGCGTTGCACATGATTGACTCCATGTCGGAGCCACCGAAGGAGCCGGGTCATATCTCACCTGTTTCCTCGGTCGACCCGTTTCCAGGATATTGTTGAGAACCTGACGAACAACTCGGTGTTTTTTTTTTTTTTTTTTTTTTTCGGGTGTTGGGTTTTGATTGTGGGAAGATTCTATTTCTGCGATTGTATGTGTTTTGGATTGAAGGTATAGGTTGGGAAGCTATGCCGAGCGAATTTTCAATGAAGCAAAATGGGGATGTGGCGAAGGCGCGGGAGCGCATTCGAGTACTCAACCGCGTGTTGGGTGCTTTCGATTCTTACAATGCTCTCCAGGTACGTTCGTTGGGTTGGACTTTGTTGTTCAGAGCTTTTCGATTGCTCGGATCCCGTTACGAAATGCTCTTGCTGCACCTTGTTGGGTTTTCGAGGTTGCTGAAAGATTTTTCGTAAATATTTTTTTTTCTCTGACCTAGGTTTCCTGAGGTTCCTTGACGAGCCGTAAGGTATTATTCGAGGTTTTGCATTATTTGCTTTTTGATATTAGCGGCATTCTGTTCTGCGTTTTCAAATGGGAAACGATGGTGTATTCTATCCATTGGAGAACGTGCTTTCTTATGTCATCAAGACGATTGTGTATTTGTAAGTGAGGAGGTTTATGATTTTTACTCGCATTGTATCAACATGTGGGTTCTCCAGGAATCTGAGCAACCTGCAAGAAAATTGCTCGATGATGACAACGTGGCGGACAAAATTTCCAGACTGTTATTGCAACCGACATCTGGGAAGGTTAGTCGCGGGGCACTGATGTTTGATGATGAGTGACACGGTCTACGAAAAATTAGATGCGGTTAATGGAGTTCAGTCTCGGTAAGGAATCAATAAAGCATCTGAATATTACGGTAAGCCATACCCGTACTTGAACCTTGGTAACGTTCTTTTGGTGTCGTTGCAGGGAAGTGATCTGGTGTGTCAATGGCTATTCGACACCTACCAAACGCAAGATCCGGAGTTACAACTTGTGGTGCTTCGATTCGTTCCGATTCTATGTGGGGTGTACCTGCCTCGCGTCACCACTAATCCAGACGAGCCCCTAGCAGGTACATTTATGTAAGTACTTGGAGCTGAATTGAACCCTTAAGTGTAGGATGCGAAAGGCTTGAAAGGATCCTTTTTTATTGTATTCGACACCTTTTGTTTTGCGATGTTGGTTTTTGCTTTATAGCTCTGAGGAGTTTATGCGTATTGCTACATACTGGAAATATAACTTTTTGTAGAGTAATTCATAAATTATTTTGCTGGTATATCTATACTGCTGCACTGATTTAATTAGTTGAATTTTAACGAAGTGACTTAGGTCAATGTTTTATGACTATTATTGTTGTTATTATTGTTGTTATTGTTGTTATTATTATTTTTCAATATGCTGCTGTTTGAACAAGCACGTGGTGCTGTGTTTACTGATTACAAGGCTTTAGAGTCCTAGTGCATTGCCTTGCTTTTGCTTTAGGTCTTTGTTTTTGACATGTGTATATCCTAGTTTGTCTTAGTTTGGTGGGTCCAAGTTCTAATTTTGACATCATGGCAGGTTTTGAGGCGGTCTTGCTAGCATTGTACACTGCTGAATGTAAGGCACGAGGGGGAAGGCCAGTGATGATCAACATTCCTGACCTTGGGCATGCCAGCCTTTACCACTCTCCGCGTCATATAGTTGGTTCTCCTCAACCTGTGAGTCCTCCATAGCCAACAATATTTCATATTTGTTGCCAGCTTCCATGTACAGAAACATCTATAATCTCCTGTTTTGTTTCCAACCTGATGTCTCATTAATAGCTTCATTATCGTCACCGTTCTTGATTCAGCACAGCATCTTTTGTTCCTTTAGAAGTACCTTGATCATCGGACACAAGTTTGAATGAAGGATTTAATTTTGGTGCACATGGTTTAATGTATGTTCCCAGCACGTCGAAATTGTTTCACCAGCACTTGAGCCACAAAGTGCAGTGAGGAGCACGAAACGGGCGGTGATCATAGGAGTTGCCCTTGAGCTGTTTTGCAAGCGGATCTCTATGATGCCATCAAAAGCGAAGCTTGATCTGTGTCATTATGCGAGAAGGTGTTGGAATTCATCTGCCATCTCATGTACCTTAAATAGTTTTTTTCATGTGTTTGTTGTACATTCACTGTTTCTGACATATAGTGCCTAATCTCAAATATTTTCTCAATATGGCAGCTGGGCAGTGAAGGGATGCGGTTGGAGCAACGAAGTAGAAACCTTAGCTAAGTCGGCACTGCCACCACCTCCTTCTCTGAACCAGACGCGAGGAGGGAGTGGATCTTGCTCTCTAGGTGTTGCATTAACTATTGGCGAAGCTCTCACTGTGGAGCAGGAGCCTGCTGATCCGCCTCTTCTAAGGAGGTCTAACCGGCCTGGAAGATGGGATGTTGCTGGTACGACAAAACGTGACCTCATGCTCTACTTTACCTCATGATTTCATCCGAGACATTTTCAATCAATTCGAGTCATTGATATTTGTCACGGTTTTGTGATACCAAGGAGATTTTGGGTGATTTCTACTAAGTTCTTAGTAGTGGTAGGTACGAAATTCTGCTCAAAGTACTTCAAAATGAGAGCATGTTCATCGTTGACTTGATGGATGTTGAACCTCATCACCTCATGGTTGACGTTGAAGCAAATTTGTTGCAAACCGACCATTCTGTTTGGACCCAAGTGATCGACAACCCTCACCATCACATCGTTGCCCCCAATTGTGCAGAGCCATCTTTGAGCAACGTTCTAGACTCTCGTGAAAACGATCGCGATGCAGTCTGGGAATTCGACTATCAAGATGACTCTACTGATGGGCCTCGTGTGTCCCTTGAGATAGAGGTGCTCCGTCCTATTTTCAAGGTTCTCGGACACTGCCTCATGGCCCCTGCAAGTACTCCGGCGCTCAAAGCTGCTGCTGTAGATGCCGCAAAGGCGTTGTATGCAAGGTCTTCTCAGTGCTTGCTTCCAGAAGCCATGCTAGCTTCCAGAAGTCTTATACGATTGAGTGTAGGTTCTTCTTTAGGTCCTACAAAGTCCCAGAGAGCAGATAAGCTGGTCAAGTCAACAAGGCATGGAAACTAGCATTATCTAGTTCACTCTTTTAGACGGTAGTTAGGAGGTTGTAGGTTCAAGAGCTGTATTTCTTCTTTGTGTTTGGCTTCTTTGTCTGTTCAGTGTCTGGGATACTAATGAAAGATATGCTGGTTAAAGATTCTAGAATATGCTTCATTTATTTCAAGAGATTCAAAGAGCTCTAGTGGCATCAATGGTTTTCTGTTTCAAAAGCTTCTGAAAACCCTGGAGTAATTACGTGACTTCCAAAAAAAATGTCGACTCTTGATTCTTATCCGTGGTTCCCTTAAGATTGATTTTTCTATTGAAGTCAATGATATATGAGAAGTAAAACATTTAAATATCAATCTTGGTTTAAGATTAATAGTTACTTTTAGTAACTATTAAAAGTAACTATGAATCTTAAATCAAGATTAAAAGTAACTATTAAGTGGATCATGAATAAAAAAATTTGAATTTTCAAAAGGTGGTTTGTTTTTGTATGTGTGAAGCAACAAATAGCATATACAAAGATGAAAGTTGCTTGTGTGAAATGAAAGAATCAAGGAATTGGTGATTGGAATTAGACATGTATGTGTTAAGTCATGTACATATTTTCTTCAATGATTCATGTTCAATTTACTATCATTACTTTAAACCTTATTGATGACTTTTTTATTTTAAAGGTGAGTCCAAAAATATTCTCACTATCAAGAAATTACATTGGATGAATTATACAAGGTTAGTTTGTTACATAAATCTAAATTTTGGTCTTTTTATTGGATGATTACATATAGCTATGAATATATAATTTTTGTAATAATGATATTATAAGGAGTGATTTTATATATGACTATTTTATTAACATAATAACAATTTAATAGCATATTGCAACTTATGACGTAAATTAAAAGGAACAAATTAATGTACAAATCTTTGTACAATCTATAAGTAAAAGCAATAATAACTTAATTGAAATCTTTTTAGTATTCATTGAGAATTGTTAAAAATCTCATTCTGATATCATATGAAAGAAGTTTAAAAAATTAATTATATAAAAATATAAAAATAATAATTCCTATAAAAGCTTGAATGTTCATATTTTCTTAATAATCTATTATTGGTGTTATCATCTTCTTCAGGATCATCAACATCACAACAAAATTGTACTTATCCATTGATCCATCCATCACCATTATAGTTGCAACAAAAAAATATGCTCATTGTAAATGAGGCCGCTCAATGCATTTGCCAAGGGCCAAATCTGGATCTGTTGCTTGGAAGGCAATTATCTTGACATTGAAATCTCCTTTTAGGTTAAAATAAAGCATCAAGGTACATTCCATGATGGATGTAAATCCATAGTCAATTTTCATTAGCCGTATAAGGATCATTGATCTTGACAAGAATAAGGTTAATTATTGTTGTCCTTTACCTTTCTACCATGGAGTAATCATAGCTAGTCTTTATGAACTCTATCCAGAAATATCTGGGAATTGTTCTTTGCATTCTCATTCCATGTGTACTAGAATCTCTTCTACTTCTCTATCCATTTACTTATTGGCCAACTATTCCATATGATTATTTCCTAATACAAGCTGATATGTAGATGCAATGCCATCTTGTCTAATTTGTGTGTGTTGTGATTGCGGTGCTATATATTTTTGATTATGTGCTTTTAGTAGATAAAGAAGATTGATGTCTCTATGTTGTAACATACTATCAAGGAGCTAGAGTTTATTGCCAACTTCATCATATCATCCATGGTGAGTTGTTTGGAGAGGATTGTAATCTAGAGATTTGCTCTATTGGTTTGATCTTTTGGGAGAGGCGAGGCCCTTCTCTACATAGTTATTGCCTAGTATTATTTGTTCAAAAAATATGTCTATGGCTACTAATAATTTTCTACTCTTTGTAGATGTATGTGTGTAAGTATTGGATCTATGTAAATGAATTGGTATATCCGTGGAAATTTGTGGGATAACTTTTGCTAGAGATTCTAAGAGAATTGTTACAAGTGGAAGCTAGTTTCACCATGGAGTGGTGGCATAGATTGCAAATACACCTTTTTCTATCTAGATTTTGTAAAAGATTTTTTTTAATTTTTTAATCTTATTTACTGAGTAAATGAAGCAGATGATGTTGCACCAAACTTTGGCACTGATGTTTATCACTATTTTTTAAGAATAAAATAATACTTTTTTTAGTGGAAAGGTGTATCTTGAAATTTCTTGGCCACATTTTTGAACTCAAATATTCCATAGGATGCTAGTACATAGCAAGTCCTAAGATCTATTCTTATTAATTAAAATCAAGTTTGATGAATTCTAAAAAAAATGCGGTATTGATGGAATTACATTCTACAAGGGCCAATACTCTAAATCAGATAGAGTGTCAAGGTGTATATAAATTATGTAGACGATGTGAGGACCATAAAAAAGTAAGATGATGCCATGCTAGAGAAACCTGAGGACATCCATATAATGTGTGTTCTATGTTTTCTATACCTTTAAAGTTACAAAGTCCACATCTATTGGCTTATGAGACTTTTGATCTTCATTTTCATATTGATAAGCTCCTAAATAGGTGTAGCAATTCTACAGCTATAATTTTTTGAAAAAACCATGGATACTATTTTTTATGAAGTAGTTGTTTCTATTCTTGAACAAAATATCTTAAATTTACCATATTTCTAAGCTCTTTCATTGCATTGATTAGGTGAACGTTATTAAGTAATTATTTTAAAAGAGATTATAAAATTTGACATTCTTTTGCATCAACTCTTCCAAAGTATGATCTACCATGTCCAAATTATTTTCAGAGAAGAAATTTGGTGCATTGTAATGAAATTCAATTTCAAAGATTATACAGACAACGACCAGCTTTAGCTCTTCTATTGGTATGTATTACATGGATGTGCAAAGTAAGGTCTTGAAAAATGATACTCATTGAATCAAAACAATCTTCAATTTAGTAGTTGTCATAATAAATAATTTAATGTACTATTGTCTTGTTGGCTGATGAAAAACATCTTTAATCTGAAATACCCCGTTGTTAGCCCAAGTTGAGAAGGTGGAAGTTGATTCAATTTTGAAAATAGTCCCTATTATTTGTTTGATGAGAGAGTTGCTAAAAAGTGGCTTTCTTAAGATTTCAGCTATATACTTTAGTGGATTTTTTTATAAGCCAATTTTAATTAAAATCCATGAAAAAAAAACTATTCTTTATAGAGGTGAAGAGCCACAGGGTGAGGTGCGTCTAGTTGAGATTTAGTGTAGGTTGCAAGGCCATCTTCCTGTCCTTGTGAATTTGATATAATTTAAGTAGTATCTTAAGAAAATCTTCTAAGGCTCGTTATCAAGTTTCAAACTTCTAATTAATAATTTTGTAATTAAAGTCTACATTTGTAATTTATGATCTAATATTTTGGCCCCTCCAAAATCTACCATTTGAATGAATGCTCTTTAGTTCAATTTATCTCTTTTTGTGCTACCTATTTTAGCATTGTTGTATTGTAAATGCTTATAGTATGTAAAAATTAGTAAAACATATTATATGTTAATAAATCTAGATGTGTGTTAGAGTGGTTAGTAGATTAAATTAAAAGGAGTTGGTATAAGAAACTTTACTTTGTTTTTTTTACTTGTTTTGATTTTGGCATCAAAAAAAATATAGGACCTAAATATTTAGTAAGAAGCCTTGAGAGAAGGTGGAAGCCTAAGGATGAAAATCTGAACTAGTAGGAGGCTAGTTGAGAGGGATGAAAGCAAGGCATGGTCGGATGAAGATAAGGAATGGAGAACTTCATTCCTATTGGTCGAATACCATGCCCAATGGACTTTGAGGAGGCTACCGACAATCTTAACAAGAATTTTGGCAACTTCAAAGAGAGCATTTGGAAATTAAAAGCTAGATTTGTAAATTTTAGAATTCAGAATATAATTTGTGTATAAAAATTAGAGGATTTGGAGTTATGATGAAGAAGATATAGCCATTTGAAATTAAGGTGTTAATTTAAGACATACTGTTACTCTTTTGAGGTTATCAAGAGTTATACAGTAGCTTTTGAAGATCGAAAGGTGCGGCTAGAACGGCGATTATAAGATCTACATATTCTTTGAAAGAATTATAGCTTTTAGAATTCAAGTAAAGGAGTTATAGGGAGTTGAAGGCGACACTTCCAAATCAAAGGCAGTAAGTGAATGGTTTTGTTTATAGTAATGGTTGGAGCCATAACTTAAGTTTTTGGAAAAATTTTTAGCTAAAACTTTTTAAAAAAATATAAATTTTTTTATTAAAAAGCTATAAATAAAAATTTCGTAGCATTTGAGCTTATATTTTGTGAGATATGAAGAAAGTTGCATGTAGGTATATAAATTCAAGGATATAAAGCGGCTGTAAGGATTTTCAAGATATCTCAAGATCCGCAATGAATTTGTAGTTGAAATTTATTAAAAAAATTAGTAAGAATACATCAATACCTCATATAAAATTTGAGTTTTTTTGGATAGTCGGATTAGGAGATATGAGGTGTTGAAGTTTGGAAAAATTTCCACATATGGATATACAAGGTTTTAGAGGATTTTATCATATTTTGAGTGTTGTTGGTTACTTGAGGCTTATGTATTTGGTGTAATTGTACAAAAAGAGAAATTTTATATATAAAATTGATATTTTTTATTTCAAGACTTGATTGAATAATTAGTGATAGCTAGGAGCCTAGTGCTTTCTTGACGCAAATTCTCTCTACCTTGATAGTGTCTCGTATGTAGTTTTTTATAAGAGTTATTATATTCTTAAATATATTGTTTGTAATTGTAGCACAAGAAAAAAGAAACCAAATGCTTATTAGTATTACTTGATTTTTTAGGATAATACCACTAATTAATAAAAGACCGTATACACTTTAGTTTGAAAGTGCAATAGTTAGGTATTTCAGGATCTTATTACAAATTGCTTTAAGTGGCACCTTAAAGCCTATTAGGAAATCTAAGTAGCTGATAGTATTGTCCAGTGGTAGCCACTTCATTACTAGATCTCTCAATCCATATTACATTCAAGGAAGGTGAGATGTCTAGATTCCAATGGACTTATTTCAATTGAGTTTTGTACTACTTTTAGTATTGTATATTGAAAGAATATCTATATACTATGCTAAAGTTGCTATCATTTCCTTTTAAAAAAAGCATTG